CAGGCACCCAGCCCTCCCACTGCTAGCCTGAGCACAGGGGCCGTGAGCCCCGGCACCCTGCCCACCTCGGAAGGACGACATCTTCTTCACGCTGGTCAGCTCGTGGTGGGTGATGCTCGGGGCCTGCCTGAACTTCAGGTTGGTCTCCCTGACAACAAGGAAGGCGAGGGAGGTGGCCATGTCCCTGGTAGGCCGGGGAGCCCCCAAACCTCTTTTCAAAGTCGCTCACCCAGACATTCCTCCAAGCTCCTACGGGGCGCCAGCTGCCTATCAGAAGACAGGGGCCCAGAGAGGCAGAGGGCGTATCCGAGGTCACACAGTATGTGTCCTCCCTTAGTCCCAGCCCTCTGCCATAGAAGCTTCAGGTGCCAGGCAGCCACCCCCACCGCCGTCACTCCCTCACCCGTCAATGTCGGCCGTCTCCACGTAGCAAAGGCTGCTGGGCTCGGTGCTGGCCAGCAGGAGTAAGTCTGCCTGTGGCCAGGGAGTGGGGCAGAGCATAGCAGGGGTGAGGAGGGGCGGGCCTGACTAGTCCACCTCTGCCGGCAGCTACCCCAGCTCAGGCCCCGGGCTCACCGGGACGATGCTGTCCTGGCTGAGACACACCACGTCCCCCACACACAGGTGCTTCCACTTCTTCCACAAGAAGCTGCAGGGACGGCAAGGGAGGCCTGAGAGGGGGGCCCCCTTGGTGGGGACACGGGGGCCCGGGGAGTGGGGATGGCCTCACCCCTTCCCCAGCAGGATCTGGCAGGGCCGGTTGTTGACGGTTCTGTCACTGCGGTGCCGGCCCTGCAAGGAAGGGGCGGTCAGGACCCTGCCCACTGGGCAGCCTGGCCCATCACGCGCCCATGATGAGCGGGGCGGGGGGCACCCACTTACAATGTCGTCCACCAAGTCGCGAGTGGCGCGGATTAACAGCAGGCAGACCAGCGGGGCGAAGAGCGTGAACCAGGGCAGTGTGGAAATTTCTGGAATGGTCTGCCGCGGGGGGGGGGGGGGGGTTGTCGCGGCCTTGGGCTGCACCTGCGACCCCTCCCTGCACCCCAGGCCCCGCCCCCACTGGCCCGGACCTGCAGACTCCCAGTTCCCTAGCCACCTCCCCCAGCACTTCCTGGATCCCAGGGCATGGAGGGCTCCGGGCCACCCCAGGCTCCCTGTGTTCCACTTTCTTCCTGTGGCACATGCTGAGTGGAGACGGAGTGCCGGGGGGTGGTGTGGACCCGGCTGGGAGGGTGTGGAGCCAGGTCACTCCGACATGGTGGCTCAGGAGAAGACCCAGAGGCCTTCTCAGAGGAGGAGGCGGCACTGTGCCCACTGTACCCCTCCCCTTCCCCTGGGGGGGGTGTCCCTCAGCGCACCTCACCTGCAGGATGATAATGAGGAGGAAATAGACGTTGGACATGCGGTGGAACTGCTCGTACAAGTTCAGCGGCAGGAAGGACAAGACGTTGTACTTGGCCGTGTGGATGAGGTTGGTCTGCCAGGACGGAGGCACCGATGGGGGGGGGTGGGTACCTCCCGGCACAGAGCCCAAACAGCCCAGCCTGGCCCAGCAGGCCAAGGCTGCCACCCATCCCATGGGAGATGCACCCCGGGGCTGCACAGACAGATTACGGTATCCCCATGGGGTTCAACATGCGCTTCCCGGGCCAGGGCAGAGGGCACCCCCCACCGGCCCATGGCTGGCACCCAGGAGGAGCGGGCAGTGGGCAGGCGGGCAGAACGGGCGAGTTCCCACCTTGTACTTCCTGTTTTGCCAGCAGAGGAAGCCCCCTTCCTTGGCCTGCCTCTGGAAGGCACGGTTGTTGGCTCTGACCTCCCAGGTGAACGCTGAAGCCACATAGCAGAACTAAGGCCCGTGCTAATGACCCCCCAGGGGACCCAGGCCCAGTAAACAAGAGGGGCCAGCTGGGTCCCTGCCCACCAGGCTCTGAAGAGGGAGCGAGCCCCAACCTCTCACCCCTCCCCAGGGGCCGGGTTCCTGAGATCTAGGGGCTCAGCTAGGATAACATGCCGTGGAGGGGAGGGTGGGCGTGGGCTCCCCTCACTACCCCAGCCGGGCACCTGTGTTCTTGTCATCATCCTGGTGGTCTCTGTAGGTCAGACTGCCCATGCTGGTGGGGCTGTGAGGGACAGGGTTGGGGTCAAGGCATGGGCCGTCCCCCCGACAGTCGCTTGCCTCTCTGACCTCCCTGGACCCTGCTGTCCTGTAACACACTCCCACAGGTGTGTGCACCACGCAGGGCCACCTCCACGACCCTCATGCCTTCCTCCTGCCCCCGTTGTCACTCCCACTCCCCTGCACCTCACCTCCTCTTGGCTCCCCTGCCGCCTTGGGCTCCTGCAGTGTCCATGGAGGCCACACCTTACCCAGAGCCCAGAACCTTCTGCAGCTGAGTAGCCCGGAGTTGCAGTCTGGTCTCCTCCTGGGGAGGCCTTGCCAGCCACAGCAGCTCCACCCACCCCTGGCCTCACCTGTCCCCTGGGCCGGTGCCGAGAGCCTGCCCTGCCACCCAGCAGCGGCATGAACCCCCAGGCTCGCTGCAGGAACCCCAAGAACCACCCAGGGCAGCGGGGGCCATTCACCCACAGAGGCCCGGGGTCGGGGTGTGGGGCGACCATGCGGCTCCTCAGGTCCCCGGGGGGCTCCCTCAGCTGCCCCCGCAGCTCCCCACTGGCTAACCGGCTCCTCTAGGGGCAGGCCGGGTCCCCCAGGACAGCAGCCCCTGCAGCCCGGCGCTCACCTGCGCGGGCCGGGCGGGCGGGACACCGGGTCGGGCGGCGGGCTGGATGGAGCTGTTAGCCCGGGGCCAACGGGTGGGAACGGGCGGAGGGGCGGGGCCAAGGAGAGGGGCGGGGCCTGGGAGATAGGGAGGGGCCAGAGGAGATGGAGCCTGAGGAGGGGAAGGGGCTGGGGAGAGGGGCGGGGCCCGGGATGGGGCGGGGCCAGAGGAGACGCAGCCTGACGAGAGGAAAGGGGCTGGGGAGAGGGGCGGGGCCAGAGGAGACGCGGCCGGAGGAAGGGCGGGGCCTGGGGAGGGGGCGGGGCCTGTCAGAAGGAGGGTACCGGCTGTGCGGGCTGGGATGTGGCGGGGCCAAGGTTATGGTGGGAGGCGGGGTTTGAGGTGAGGGGCGGGGCCACAGGCAGGGTGTGGGGAAGCTGCCTGGGGGAGGGGCAAGGGTTGAGGGTGGGGCGGGGCCAGAACCTGGGGGCGGGGCCACAGGCGGGGTGGGGAAGCTGCCTGGGGGAAGGGTGAGGACTGGGCGGGGCCAGGACTTGGGGGCGCTCGAGTGGCTGGTCGGGGCACGTCCCAGGGCGGGAGAGGGGATCGGTACCGGATTGGGAGTGGGAGAAAGGCCGCAGGCCAGGCAGGACAGCCCGGGTACCTGGGACCTGTGCACCCCGGCTGCTGTGCAGGAGTGCACCGGGGTACGCGCCCGCCCACTTGCTCCTGTGTGTTACCTCAGCACTTCCCAGGTCAGCCCCGGCTGGGGGGCTGCCCAGGCACTGCGACCTTCCCGAGGGTGGGTGGGGTGTGAAGGGAGCACAGGGAAACAGGCCCCCTCAGGCGGGCTTCCTGGGTCACAGCACAAGCCTGGGCCCGACTGGCCCCGACAAGCTCCTGGGTCACCACTGTGGCCTCTCAGAGCTGCGGAGGGCGCAGGTGGCCACAGGGCTCCCTCTGACAGGAGGTGCAGGGGCTGCCGTCCTGGGGGACCCGGCCCGCCCCGAGGGGAGCCGGTTAGCCAGTGGGGAGCTGGGGGGCAGCTGAGGGAGCCCCCCAGGAACCTGAGGAGGGGCAGCTGAGCTGAGGGAGCTCCCCAGGAACCCGAGGAGGGGGCAGCTGAGGGAGCCCCCCCGCGGGACCTGAAGAGAAGCAGCTGAGGGAGCCCCCCGGGAACCTGAGAAGCACCTGAGGGAGCCCCCCAGGAACCTGAGGAGAAGCAGCTGAGGGAGCCCCCCAGGAACCTGAGGAAGGGCAGCTGAGGGAGCTTCTCGGGACCCTGAGGAGGGGCAGCTGAGGGAGCCCCCGGAGAATCTGAGGAGAAGCAGCTGAGGGAGCCCCCGGAGAATCTGAGGAGAAGCAGCTGAGGGAGCCCCCGGGAACCTGAGGAGAGGCAGCTGAGGGAGCCCCACGGGAACCTGAGGAGAAGCAGCTGAGGGAGCCCCAGGAACCTGAGGAGGGGCAGCTGAGGGAGCCCCCGGGACCTGAAGAGAAGCAGCTGAGGGAGCTCCCCGGGAACCCGAGGAGAAGCAGCTGAGGGAGCCCCCCGGGAACCCGAGGAGAAGCAGCTGAGGGAGCCTCAGGAGAATCTGAGGAGAGGCAGCTGAGGGAGCCCCCCGGGACCCTGAGAAGGGGGCAGCTGAGCTGAGGGAGCCCCCCAGGAACTCGAGGAGGGGGCAGCTGAGGGAGCCCCCCGGGAACCTGAGGAGAAGCAGCTGAGGGAGCCCCCCGGGAACCCGAGGAGGGGGCAGCTGAGGGAGCCCCCCGGGAACCTGAGGAGAAGCAGCTGAGGGAGCCTCAGGAGAATCTGAGGAGAAGCAGCTGAGGGAGCCCCCCGGGAACCTGAGGAGGGGGCAGCTGAGGGAGCCCCCGGGAACCTGAGAAGCAGCTGAGGGAGCCCCCCAGGAACCTGAGGAGAAGCAGCTGAGGGAGCCCCCCAGGAACCCGAGCAGGGGGCAGCTGAGCTGAGGGAGCCCCCCAGGAACCCGAGGAGGGGGCAGCTGAGGGAGCCCCCCGGGACCCGAGGAGGGGCAGCTGAGCTGAGGGAGCCCCGGGAACCCGAGCAGGGGGCCTCCCTGACAGGAGCGGCCCGTGGCAGAGGCCATGGGGAGGGTCCAGCAGCCTTGGGACTCGGGGACACTCTGTGGGTCATCAGAACAGCCCTCCCCTCAGGAGACCCCAGGCCCCCGAGACCCGTGCACCCCGACTGCCGTGCACGGGGTGCAGGGGGGAGCTGGCCCCTGCGACAAGAACGCCACCAGAGCCTGAGTGTTAAAATCCATACAAACGTGTTTATTCTGTCCCTGCCCGGGGTGGAGGGGTGGGGGTGGGGGAGGGCCCCAGATGGGGAGGCCGGGGTGCCAGCGGGAAGACAGTCGGGCGGGCGGCCCGAGCTCACAGAGGCCCGGATGGCGGAGTGTGTGCACGTGTGTGTGTCGGGGGTCGGGGGGTCTCCGGCCACCGCTGCCCCCCTGCCTGGAGTTGGGCTTGGCCGCCCCAGCCCCGTGGCGAAGGCGGCTCCTCTGGGTGGGGAAGGGAAGACGGTGCAAGTCAACAGGTTTAAATAAAGAATAATAAAAATAACCGTACAAAACACAACAGAGGCCCCAGCCCAGCAGCGGCCCCTGCACCCGGCCAGGGCTCGAGGCGCAGGGGGCGAGGGTCCCGAGGGTGCCGGGGGGTCTGGCAGCAGCAGTCTGCAGACGGGCGGGGGGCCTGGGGGGGGGCAGGGAGCGGGTGGGGGCTGGGCTGCCGTGCACTCTCCTGGCCGGCCGGCCCTGGCTCGTCCTGGCGAGGTGCACTGGGTTAGGTCTCGACATTTATTGCACTGTTTTGGAAGAGGCCGGGGGTGGAGGACGGGCCGGGGCGGCAGGAGAGGCGGGCGGCGGGCGGGGGTCATCGCTTGGTCTTGGCGTCCTCTCGGATCTTCCAGATGAGCAGGTGCATGCAGGCGCTGGCGTCCTCGCTCGAGCTGTGCCCGTCCACTGTGGGTGGACACGGTCAGTGCCCAGCCGTCCTGCGGGGCGGTGGGGGGGGCCCGGCTCCCACCCACCCAGACGCCCCGCGCTGGCCCCCCGCACTCACCGTTGTCCTGGATGATCTGCCTGAGGCAGTCGGCCATCAGATTGCGCAGGGAGCGCTTGTACGGCAGGCCCAGGCGGTGCGGGAACAGCACAGACGTGTCCACCACGGTGCGGTGGATGACCTGTGGGAGGGCAGGACTCAGGGCCGGGCCGGGTGGGACGGGGCGGGCAGGGCCAGGCCGGGTAGCTACCGACCTTGAGAGCCAGCAGGTCGCTCTGGAGGCTGTGTCCGATGAGGATGGTGTCGGCACTGAACATGCTCAGCAGGACGGCCTGCACGTCCCTCAGCGTGATGCTTACATTCGCCAGGTCGGCCTCGGTCACCCCGGAAAACCTGGCGAGGGCAAGGGGTGGGGGGGCCCAAGGCTCAGCGGGCACCAGGGGCCGGGCCGCAGGAGGAGGGGCTGCACCCCCCAAGACCTACCGGGTGTTGTAGTCCACAATCTCATTGTCGGGCTTGACGAAGGTGTCGTAGACCACCTGCATGTCGGTGTCCACCACTGTGACGCGGGTCAGCTCCAGGCCGAAGGTGGTATAGGACTGTGTGGGGCGGGGGGGGCACAGGCCTCAGACCCTGCCCTGGGGCCCTCCGCAGACCACCAGCACCCAGGGGCCCACCCCGAACCCCACGCACGCACCATCTCACAGTCGAGGGCGAAGATGCCTGCGTGAGCGTCTCCGGAGACCTCCTTCTCGAAGGTTTTCACAAAGCCCTCCAGGCAGTCCTTCCGGCCGTCCTGCACGTGTTGCTGAGGGCAGGGCGTGGGGGGGTGAGCGGCGAGCTGGCACACAGCGGGACATGGGGGTGCCGCCGGGGGAGGGGACCGGGGCCCGACTCACCTTGGCCACCTGGCAGCCCATGGAGCCGATGGCCGTGGAGCAGCACATGTACTGAGTCTCCCAGCCGCCAGCCACTGCCACGGCAAGACACAGAGCGGCTGGTCAGTGGCTTCCTGCCTGGGGAAGCACCAGTCCCTGTCCCTCCCAGGGAGTGGGGGTGTCTGGCAGGAACAGTCCAAGACAGGGCCAGGCGCCGTCTGGGGCCCCGTGGGGGTCATGAAGGCCTCAGCAGGCAGCAGGAGGCAGCCCATGTGCCCATGTGGGACGCACTGTCCAGATAAGACAGGAACAGTGTGGGCCCTGTGCCCAGTGTGCCCTGCAGAGGTGCGCCCTCCCCCGCCAGCGTAGGATGCAGGGGAGGAGGCCCTGACTCCCCCAACCCTGGTGGGGCCCCCTAGAGTACAGGATGCAGGGGAGGGGGTCCGGGTCCCCCTGGCCTGACCTCGGTTCCGGCGCAGCCGGCCCCAGTGGTAATTGCATTCCTCGTCGCGGATGCAGCGGCCGGAGGAAGACACGAGGTACTCGGCGCCACAGCGGCAGCAGATCCTGCAGGAAGCTGGGGTGCAAGCCCAGAGTGGCATGATGAGCCCAGCCCAGCCCGGCCCTCAGCACCCCCAGCCCCTGGCCTCCAGGACCGCCCCCCTCCGGGTCCTCAGCATCCCCGGCCTGGCGCGACTCACGATCCTTGGGTCGCTTCTCCTCGGCCGTGAAGATGACGGCGCCACCGGGCCGGTCCGGGTGCGGGAAGGGGTAGCCATTCTCTTTGAGCTGCTCCTCGGTCAGCAGGTATTCTCGGAGGCGGCTGTACAGGGCGGCACCTGCAAGCAGCCACAGCCCGCTCAGCGCGCCGTTCAGCCCCGCTTCTGCAGACAGGCCCGGGGTCGTGGGGGACAGGAAGGACTCGGCCTGTGGGCACCCCACAGTGTTGGGCTCACCTTTCAGATCTTCCACGCGGGGGCTGCTGGGACGGTTGAGCGAGAAGCTGGTCTTGGCAGCCAACCTGCCCCCCAGCACCATCTCATGGGACACGACCTTCCGGCCAGTGGGCTCTGCAGGGGGGTGGGGTGGGCTCAGCTCGATGGGGTGCACGCACGGCCACTCTGCACAGCGGTTCCCTGCCTCCCCCCACTCCATCTAGCATACCCCCATCAGGATACCCCTCCTGCTCGTGGCCTGGGGGAGACGGGAACAATCGAGCAGGCCTCTAATAGCTCTCGAGGGCCGGCTAGCAAGGGCCACTGGGGGGGGGTGTGCCACATACGGAGGCTAATGCAGGCGGGGACCCGGGGAGCGCGAGAAAGTGGGGTGGTGGGCCAGCTGCCACCTTAATGCAGGCTCTCGAGGCGGTAATGAAACGCCTGCCTCGCCCCCTTCTCCCTCCCCAGAGCTTAATGCACCCCGGGCCTCCTGCTTTGAAGAGGCCACGGCTGAGCAGCCATTAGCGCCGCCGAGGGTGTTAACAGCAAGGAGGGGCCACGCGGGGGGTGGGGGGTGCTCACTGCTGAGGCTGGGCACGGCGTTGGGCACCAGGCCCCGCAGCTTCTTGAGTGTGTTCACGGCGACGTTCAGGTAGATGTTCTTGCTGGGGCTGCGGTCATATGCCACCTTCTCTTCGCTCAGGGCCTGTGGGCAACGCACGCGTGCTGGGGTCTCCCGGTGGGTCCCTGGGGAGGCTGGCACCCACCCCAGCCTGCCTAGGGCATAGCACCAGCCTTCACCCTCCCCTCCCCTTCTTTTTTTTCTTAAGGCCTACCTTCTCCACGGCCTCCTCGCTGGAAGAGCAAGACTTGAGGCACTCCTCCAGGAACATGTTGAGATAGCGCTGGCGGATGGCTGTGGGGACCTTGCCTCCAAACTCTTTTGGGATAATGGGTTTCTTGAGGCTCTGGGAGGTGGCAGGGGTGACACAGAGACCCAGCAAAGATCAGCCAAGCATTCCTGCTGCATCCCCCCAGCACCAGCCCTGCCATCGACTCGGGCTACAAGTCAGAGAGCAGTGAGGGCCCAATGTGATGGCTCAAAAGACTAATCCTCCACTTCCAAGCACCAGAATTCTATAGGGGCGCTGATTCGTGTCCTGGCTGTCCCACTTGCCATCCAGCTCCCTGCCTGTGGCCTGGGAAAGCAGTCTAGGATGGCCCAAAGCCTTGGGACCCTGCACCCGCGTGGGAGACCCTGAGAAAGCTCCTGGCTTCACATCGGCTCAGCTCCGGCCATTGGGGCCATTTGGGGAGTGAATCAGCAGATGGAAGATCTTTCTATCCCTCTGCCGATCCTTTTCTCCAATTAGAAGAAAAAAAATCTTAAAAAAAAAAAAAAGAAAAGAAAAGGAGGGGAGGGTAAAGGCTGGTGCTATGGCCTAGCGAAGTTACGCTTCTGCTTGGGTCGCTGGTTCAAATCCAGGCTGCTCCACTTCCGAGCCCAGCTCCCTGCTTACAGCCTGGGAAAGCAGCGTGGGAGCCCTGGAAGAGGCTCCTGGCTTGGCGCCAGCCCAGCTCCGGCCGCTGTGGCCGTTTCAGGAGTGGAGCAGGTTGAAGGCCGCGTTCCTCTCTACACACCTGCCTCCGCCATCACTCACGAGGGACTGCGGCCCTCTCACAGCTGCCTGGAGCACTCGTGCCTCAGGGTCTAGCACTGTAGGGCAGTGGGTGCAGGCAGCGCTTGCGGTTCAGCCCCCTGGGAATACAGGGACATCTGGGTGGACCTGCCTGGCTTCTGTCTTCCCCTTCCCACCCCCCCCATGCACCCTGATAGGGGAGAGGAGCCGGCTACCTGCAGAGATGGGCTGTGAGCCACCCGCTTGGGGACCGTGGGGGTCGTGGTCTTGGACGCCATGCCTGCCAGCGTGCGTGTCTTTAGTGGCTGCCGACCGGGCTCGGGGCCAGGGGGCGCCTGGCTGTTGCTGCTGGCCGTGGGGGTCGTCCTCTTGGCGCCTGCGGGGGCTGGCGGGGCACGGGGGGAGAGGAGGTCCGTCACCGAGTTGCGCAGCACCAAGCAGCTGCGGTCGCTCAGGGCCAGGAGCATGTGCAGCTGCGAGCACAGGGGCAGCGGCTGGGCCGCGGCGCTGGGGCTGTGCAGCGACATGGGCTCTATTTGCGTGCACGCAAGGCCATGGGCATGGGCGGGCGGGCGGCAGGGGTGGGGGGCAAACACGACGCGGGCTGCGGAGGCCGGCTCAGGCGACGTGGGTGCGGGGGGCGCAGGGCGGGCTGGGCCTCTGCCACATGCTCCGGCCCCGACTCCGAGGCGCTGACGTCTGACGGAGGAAAGGCCCTGGCTCCGGGACAACGGAGCAGGGGCTGTAGGACGCCCCCCCACCTGCCCATTGTGACCTGTCCCCACTTGCCAATGGCCTTGAGCTCTGCCCCTCCCCCTGATGAGGTCACACACCCAGAGCCCCGCCCACAGCAGGCTGGGCAGGGCGGGGGAGGGGCCGCACTGGGGGCGGGGGCGGGGGGGGGAGTGGGGAGAATCCCTTAGTGCGAGAAAGGGCCTTGGGATGCCCCGGAAGCCACACAGCATGACACTCAGGCTCAGAAGTGACCCCAAGCATCTGTCCCCCAGCCCCCAGGCCCTGCCTCTACACCAGGGGTGGAACCAGAGGCATCTGCTTGTCCAGCAGCTCAGCTCCACAGAGAAGGGACCAGAGGCAGCAACCCTGCGTTCTGAGTGGGTGGGCACCCCCCAGCTGTAGACACAGGCCACCCCCTCCCACTCCTGCTGGCCTGACCTTCAGACAAGGCCAACCAAGGCGGCCAGAGCCTGTCCAAGGCCACAGCCCTCCCCCTCACTGCCAGCCTGCAGGGAGATCAGGCACCAAACCACCAGCCACAGTCCTCCCCCTCACTGCCAACCTGCAGGGAGACGTCAGGCACCAGCCCGTGCCCCCACCAAGGCCCACCGGGCCACCAGCCACTATGCGCCCGGCCTGTGCCCTGACTTTCTGTAAGGGCACACTGCGGGCTCCTTAAGGGTATAGGAGACCAACCCAATACGAGCAGTTCTCAGGACCCCCTCCCACATCCTCCCTGAGCCCAGGCTGGGAAGACAGCCGCTGGGACAACTCACCTGTAGCCAGTCGGGGGTTGGGGACGTGGGCAATCCTCCTCTTCTCGCCAGGGGCGGAGATATGGACGGACGAGGGCTTCTCCGGCAGCCGGGGCGCGGCCTGCAGCAGGCTAGCAGACTCCTTTTGCGCCTGCTGAGCCCGTCGGTAGCACACCTCCTGGGCGGTGGGGGGCCGGGCCGGGAGCCCCGCCATGGGGCCTCTCCTCAGGGGCTCCCCCTGAAGGATGATAGGAGATTCTAGGGCTTGCCTGTGGCCTTGGGGCCCCCAGGGTGGGCAGCACCAAGCAGGTCGCAGGCCAATGGGCCAGCGTTCAGGAGGTGGCCACACCACGTCCACGCACAACACAGCAGGCCCCCAGCTCCTGCTGCCTGACATCAGCGCGTCTGGCAGGCCAGAGAGGAGCCCCTGCCCTTATAGGCTCTCAGCTCCAATCCTATGCCACAGGGAGGGTCTCTGACAGGATAGGGCGGCTCCGAGCCTCTCAGACACCCCGCCCCCTGGCTCCTGGGCCAATCAACCCATCCCCTCCTGGCACTGGGACAATCCGAGGACAGGAAGTGGGCGGGATCCGCCTAGGAGGGACCGTGGGCAGTGCTGGATACAAGTTTGCCAAATGGAGCCACAGCACAGGCCTGAGGGCTCTAGGCCCCTGAGGGAGCCAGCTGGGGGGGGGGATCCCCTCTCCTCCTGGCCAGCCTTGAGCCTGGCTTACCTCCTTGCCTTGCTTGGCAAGATGGGCAATCCTCCTCCTCTGCCCGGGGAGCAGTGCTGGGGGGTCCATGCGGCCTTTCTCCTGGCTCTTGTCTTCCTTGGGGGGCTGCAACACAGCACAGATGCTCACCCCCAGCACACCTGGCCAGAACGACCAACCAACGGGATGGTGACTGCCTGAACCCCGGTCCCAGGGCCCCTGTCCCGGGGCAGCCTTTGGACAGGACGGTCAGCAGGGGATAGCCCACTGCCTGCTGGGACAGCAGCGTCAAGTGCTGTCAGCTTGGGGAAAGCTCCCTCTGGTGGCCCAGGGAGCACACTGCAGGAGGCTCAGGGCAGGGCAGGGTGCTGGCACCTGCTGGGCACGCAGTAGCAGGGCAGCCCTCACCTGAGGGGCCAAGCGGCCCTTGCCCTCGGGAGTGGGCTCGTTGAAGATGCGCAGACACTCTTCCATGGGGTCCGAGTCAAAGGCCACCTCCTTCTCCAGGGCAGAGTAGTCCAGGTCCTCGGAGGAGGAGGAGGAGGAGGACGACGAGGGGGAGGCTGGGGTGGGTGGCGGGGGAGAGGCCTTGAGGCGCTTGGGCGGGGAGTGGCCAGGGCTGGAGGAGTCTGAGTCCGAGTCGGAGTCGGAGCTGAGGTTGGGGAGGGCCGGGGGCCAGCCCCGTGTTGCCCCGGGTCCTGGGCCCGGGTCCTCATCCCCGCTCTCGTCCCCAAAGAGGTCAGCGTGGCTCAGGGCGCGTTTCTTCAGCTTGGGGGCATCCCGGGAAGTGCCCTCATCCAGTGAGCGGGCTTTGCGCCCTGCCAGCTTCCCAGACGAGGTCTTGGCACCACCCTTGCTCTCCAGCAGCATGCGGGGGCTGCTGGTGGGGCTCAGCTGGTGCCCGGGCCGGTCGGGCCTGCCCCCCTTCCCTGAACTGGCCGCCGGGCCGGCCGAGGATGGCTTTTTCTTGGTCATTTCCGGCCGCTCGGCCCTGGGCCGGGGGCTGCTGGCCGGCTGGCCCTTCTTCTCGGGGCCGAGCCCCTCCCTGGACCCCCCTCGGTCCCTGTCCTTCATTTTGTCTTTCTTGCGAGTGCTGTCCTTGGAGCCTGAGGCTGCGGGGACCCCACTCCTCTTCTTCTTGGGCTTCCCTTCCTTGGGGCTGCCCCGGTCCTGTGGGGTCCTGGCAGGGGAGCCAGACTTCCCGGGCGGATGGCCAAGGTCCTCCACGTCATACTGCACAGCCATCTCTTTGGTCTCCCGCGGGGCGCTGCCCTCCACAGCTGAGCCCTCCTTGGAGGCCTCCTTCCCAGGGGGCTTGCTCTCCGCCCCGGCCTTGTGGGGGCTGGCAGGGGCTGGGCTAGCATCGTCGTCGGAGTCAGAGAAGCGGGCCTCGCATGCACCTAAGGGCTCGCAGGGTCTCTTGAGTGCCGGGCTATAGGCCTCGCTGGTGCGGGAGCCACGGGGTCGCTTGTTCGACCTGCTCAGGTGCCGGGCCGAGTAGTTGGACAGGGGGTCGTACTCCAGGTCTGTGGACGGCTTGGAGTCGTCCAGGACGTACTTGCTGCTTGAGGTGGTGCGGCTGTAGCGCCGGGGCTGGCTCACGGCCTTGGGCACGTATTCCAGGGCACCATTGCCCCTTCCAGCCCTGCCTTGGCCCTGCTCCAGCGCTGCCAGCGAGTACTTGCTGTCCGGCTCTGAGGGGGCGGCCAGCGGGGTGGGCTGGTAGCCGCAGCCGCCGGGGTTGTAGTCAAAGGCCAGCTGGAAGGCATCTTCGTCCAGAGGGGAGGTGGGGCTGGCATCGGGGTCCCGGGGCGCCAGGGCCGAGGCCTCGTCTGAGCCGAGCTCCCGCGCCGTCTCAAGCAGCTCCACCTCACTGCGCACGGCCTCGATGGCCTTGTTGACCAGCTCCAGCTCCAGCATGTCCACATGGGGCTCGGCCTCCCGGCCCAGGGAGCCATTCTCCCGGTGGGTGGGGGGCTTGGGCAGCTCGGGGTTGCAGGGGTCATAACACAGCCCTGTGGAGGAAGAGGAGGGAAAGGCCTGTTATAGGGTGCTTCCTGGGAACCCCTGGAGCCAGGGATGAGCACCCCTGGCCAAGTCGGATGGTGGATGGGGCAGGAGATACCAACTCCAGCATGTGACAAGGACAACCCTGCAGCGTCCTCTCTCTGCCATCGCCCTCACACACAGCTGCCACCCCCACCCGAGCACACCAGGGGACAGGGAGGACAGTGCGGCCTCTGCAGTCACCCCACACCAGCTGCCCAGTGTGTGCGACCCCAAATGTGCACATAGGCACGGTCAAGTCAGAGCGACTGGTCGGGGCGAGGGTCAGGTGCCCCCGGGGCTGAGGGCTACAGCCTAGGCCCCTGCGTGCTCCAGCCACTGGCGCCTTTCTGGGCCACCATGGAGCTCCGGGGTCCCCTTCCACCACAGCCAGACTTGGCAGGCAGCCCCAGACGAGGCTTGGGGCTGGCGGGGGAGGGAACATCTCAGGAGCAGCTGGGAATGGCCTCTGCCTTCAGAAAGCTCATGCCTGGGCCCCAAGGGGGCCAAGAGCAAGATGCCCCTCGGCCAGTTGTCTCCAGTGTTGGGGTGCTTGCAGCACGCAGCTGGGGCAAGAGGCTTGGCACAGGACCTGCTCCCAAACTGCTGACTGGGAGGGGCAGCAGGGTCCTGGGGGCCATCAGCTGACACCCCCTGGGAATGTACCCCCTTGCCGTGCTCCATGCAGCAAGTGGACCCTAGGGGGTTGGCTAGGGTCTCCCTGGGTGTACCCAGTAGGTACTAACACAGATGAGAGGACAGTCACTCGCAAAGGCCACTGCTGGCCACAGGGAGGGAGGAGGGAGAGGATGGCCCACACCCAGCCATCCCCTACCCAACCCTGGGGACAGTGCCCTCTGCTGGAGCTGTGGCCACCATGGTACAGCTGGCCAGCTGCAAAGAGGGGGCGGCACCCTGCCACCCTGCATGCCCCATGCCCTAGGGGCTGCGGCATCCTGGGCAGGGAGCTGCGGACAGGATACTGGGAAGAGGTGTACTCACAGGGTCAGAGCCAAGTCCCCGAGGGCTGCCTGGGGACCCCCACCATGGGCAGCCCAGCTGGGCTTTCACATAAGTTCCCATGAGGGCAGCCTGCACGTGCCCCACCCCGGGAGCAAATATGTATCCATCAACAGCATTACCTGACACATCAGGGGGTCAAGGGCATCTGAGATGGGCCAGCCTCCCCAACCCTCCTCTCACAGTCCTCCAGGTCCCCTGCAGGCCTACAGGGCACCCAGCTCGGAATCCAGGACATGGGAGGGAAGGGGCAGCATGGGCTCTGCATGCAGGGGAAGGTAGGGCGCCGGCTGCCCTGCACAGTGGACAGGATGGGATGTGTGACCACGAGCAGTGCTGGGACAGCTGCAGTGGCGGGGCAGCAGTCAGCCCAGGTCTTGGGAATGAATGACAAGTGAAGGCCGGGCCAGTGGCCAGCCCCCAGGTCTGAGGGACACGGCTCAGCTGTACCTGCTGCAGCCACAAGTCGCCCCCTTGTGGTGCAGTCACCCCACAGGAGAACCTGCCCAGCACCACAGGTCTAACCTGTCACAGCCCTAACCTGCCTGCACCCCCTGCCCTTCAATGCTGGGGCACACAGCTGGATAAAGCCTGGCCCAGAAAGGGGCCCCCTTCCTCCAGCTCCCCTTGCTGTTGTCCTGCTCCCCGGGAAGTCACCGGCCTCCCACTGCAGCCTGGGCGACCCACTGCTACACGAGCCACCATGGGGCCCACCGAGGACGGGCACGGAGCAGTGAACCCACGTGCCTCGGGCGGCTGTCCTGCCCTGCCCTGCGACCATTGCTGCCTCCTGCGCTTTGCACTAACACTGTCTTTTTTTTTTTCTCTTTCTCTTTGAAAGATTATTTATTTGAAAGGCAGAGTTAGAGAGAGAGAGAAGAAGAGAGATTTTCCACTCACAGGTTCTGTGTACAAATGGAGCTGAGTCAGATGGAAATCGGGAGCCAGGAGTTTCTTCCCGGTTCCCTGTGTGGCTGCAGGGCCTGGTTATGCGGACCAAATAGGAAGCAAGCTCGAGTTCACGTGGGTGTCAGCACCACAGGTCAGCCCTCTTTTGTTTTTAAGATTCATCTGGCAGGCCTGGCGTGGTAGCCTAGTGGCTAAGGTCCTCACCTTGCACGCACCAGGATCCCATATGGACTCTGGTTCTAATCCTGGAGGCCCGACTTCCCATCCAGCTCCCTGCCTGTGGCCTGGGAAAGCAGTGGAGGACGGCCCAAGGACTTGGGACCCTGCACCCACGTGGGAGACTCGGAAGAGGCTCCTGGCTCCTGGCTTCGGATCAGCTCAGCTCCGGTCATTGCGGCTGCTTGGGGAGTGAATCAGCAGATGGAAGATATTCCTCTCTGCATATCTGACTTCCCAATAAAAACAAATACAATCTTTTTCCAAAATAATTCATCTGGCACAGCAACACAGAGTAAGGGAATACAGCTCCCAGGTATGCTGCCTTACTCCCAGCGAGCCAGGGCCGGGCCAGGCCGCAGCCACCACACCATCAGGGTGTCCCTTGCCGAGGCCCCGGCCCCCAGGACTGAGGGTCAGTTAGGGGAGATGGGTGGGTGGGCACATGGGAGCCATGCCAGGGCCTCCTTGAGCACTGCCCTCCCGGGGAGCTGAGGACACAGGGGGAGCCCGCGGCTGTTGTGGCCACGAGGGGATACAGAGGGAGGGACAGTGTGTTTAGGGATGGGAATGGAGGCCGGGGTGTTGCTGTTTTCACCTCTGAGCCCGGCACCCCTGTCCCGCCCCTGCAGGCCAGTAGCACCACGAGGTGTCATCTGGTGCCTCTAGGGAAGGGCACATAGCGAAGAGCCGTCACCCCGTGACAGGATGTACCCCAGGGCATCTTCATCAAGGTGGCTGCAGGCTGAGCCGACCCAGAGCCAGTCACTGACAGCTGCCAGGACCACTGCCGGGTGCAGGTGGGGTGGAGACGGCAGCTCTCCCTGGGAACAAAGATCCGGACACAGCAGGACCAAACTTGGCCTGGGACCCTCGCATACAGGTGGACCCGTGGCATACAGGTGCCAGGCCGGGGGCAACTTAAAATGCTTCTCTTGGACCTGGCACGGTAGTCTACTGGCTGTCCTCAACTTGAACGCAACAGGATCCCATATGGGTACCGGATCTAATCCCAGTGGCCCTGCTTCCCATCCAGCTCCCTGCCTGTGGCCCGGGAAAGCAGTGGAGGACGGCCCAAAGCCTTGGGACCCTGCACCCGCGTGGGAGACCCAGAAGAGGCTCCTGGCTCCTGATCGGCCAGCACTGGCCACTGCGGTCACTTGCAGAGTGAATCATTGAACGAAAGATATTTCTCTCTGTCTTTCCTCCTCTCTGTAAATATCTGACTTTGAAATAAAAATAAATTAAAAAAAAAAAAAAGGAACCCCATTGGGATGGGCATTGTGGCGCAGTGGGTACAACTGCTCTCTGTGGTGCCAGCCATTGGTTCAAGTCCTGGCTGCTCCACTTTCCCATCCTGCTCCCTGCTGATGCACCTACGAAAGCCGTGGAGGACAGCCCAGGTGCTGGGGGTCCCCTGTGGCCCACAGATGGTGCTGCTGGCTTCGTCCTGGCCCAGCCCTGGTTGCGGCCGCTTGTGGAGTGAAGCAGCAGACGGGAGACCTCGGCCTGTGTAAACTGCCTTTCAAACATGTGCCTTTACGCGGGGCGGAACCAACCGCGCTTCCAGGAAAGCTAGGCACGCCTGGGGCTCCCTCCCTCACCCCATCTCCAGCTGATCAGGCCTGCAGGACAGAACCTGGCAGCAAACCTCCCCTCCCTGGAGAATGCTCGCATGCAGCTGGGGGACACAATGACAGCAGGTGTGAGTTAGGGGGAGGACAGGCCCCCCCAGGCCAGCCCGCCTTCAGGACCAGGAGGGACCACAAGCCCTGGCATGAACGACGCGGCTCCAATCCCACTGCTCCTCCTCAGAGTGTATGACCCCTCCCTGGGGGCCTCTTCACGGGCAGCAAGGAGCCCTGCCTCCACACCCCCATCAGCCTAGGGGGACACACACACACACACTCAACAAAGACCAGACTTGCTGCTGGCCTGCCTCGGTCACCGGAGACCTGGGCAGGTGTCAGGGACAAAGGATGTCAGGAGCCCACAGGGGTCCGGCGCAGAAGCAGTCCCGCCTGTGCATTATGGCGCCCTCGCAGCAACAGATGGGGCTCAGAGAGGCTCAGTGACATGCACAGGGTCCAGGGTGCAGGTGAGGGTCCATGGGGAGGCCTAGGGCACGCACGGGTCCGGGGTGCAGGTGGGGTCCATAGGGTGGTCTAGGGTGCACACGGGTCCGGTGGAGGTGGGGTCCGTGGGGAGACCTAAGGTGTGCACGGGCCCAGGCGGAGGTGGGGTCCATGAGGAGACCCTCGAACATGCATGGGGTCCAGGGTGCAGGTGGAGGAGGGGGTCCCCGGGGAGGCCCAGGGTGCGCACGGGGTCCGGGGTGCAGGAGGAGGTCCCCGGAGAGGCCCAGGGTGCGCACGGGGTCTAGGGTGCAGGAGGAGGTCCCCGGAGAGGCCCAGGGTGCGCACGGGGTCTAGGGTGCAGGAGGAGGTCCCCGGAGAGGCCCAGGGTGCGCACGGGGTCCGGGGTGCAGGAGGAGGTCCCCGGAGAGGCCCAGGGTGCACACGGGGTCCAGGGTGCAGGTGGAGGAGGGGGTCCCCGGAGAGGCCCAGGGTGCGCACGGGGTCCAGGGTGCAGGAGGGGGTCTTCGGGGAGACCCTGCGATGTACACGGGGTCCGGGGTGCAGGAGGGGGTTCATGGGGAGACCCTGCGATGTGCACGGGGTCCGGGGTGCAGGAGGGGGTTCATGGGGAGACCCTGCGATGTGCACGGGGTCCGGGGTGCAGGAGGGGGGGGTTCATGGGGAGACCCTGCGATGTGCACGGGGTCCGGGGTGCAGGAGGGGGTCTTCGGGGAGACCCTGCGATGTGCACGGGGTCCGGGGTGCAGGAGGGGGGGGTTCATGGGGAGACCCTGCGATGTGCACGGGGTCCGGGGTGCAGGAGGGGGTTCATGGGGAGACCTAAGGCGCGCACGGGTCCAGGTGGAGGCGGGGATCCCAGGGGAGGCCCGGCGATGCGCACGGGGTCCGGGGCGTGCAGAGGCACGGGGCACGACAGACGGGCGCCCCCAAGCCCCGTGTGGAGCAGGCTGGGCCTGGCCAGCGGACGGACATTACCTGCTGCCGGGGACGCCGCTCCGCCCCCGGGCGCCCCGAGGCCCCGGGCTCCGCGGTGCCGGAAGTGACAGTAGGGCCGGCGGCAGGGTCCTCCGGGTTCCCCGGCCCAGTACGGGCAGTCGATGGCCCGGAAGAAGCCAGTGGAACGCAGCATGGTCGGCCGGGAGCCGCCGGGCCCCGGGACCCTTCACTGGCGCCGCGGTCGCCTCCGCCGCCCGCGCCGGGACCCCGCCGCCGCCATCTTGCTCCAAGGCCCCCGGGACGCCGCCGCAAGGGCCCCCGGGAGCTGCTGCCCACAGCGCGCCTGCTCAGAAACGTGGGTCCCCGCGAGACGCCGCCGGGACGCGAACCCGTGCACCGAGACACGCAGCGGTAGCAGAGCGTCGGGAGGGCGTGGGCTGCACTGCGTGCGACCTCCGGGAGGCTCGCCGGCGCCGGGGGCCGGACCAGCGCGGCGGATGCAGCGCCATCTTGAGCCCCGAGCGCCTTGTGCTGCCTGAGCTGTCCTCGGCGCGCCTGAACAAAACAAAGAGAAGCCCGCCCCACCTGCGCTGGGTGGGGTCCCGCCGCGGCTTGTTTGCATCTCATTAGCATATCCCTTGGGGTGCGCTCTGCTGGGCCGGGGAGACCTGCGGTCAAGGCTGCAAGTGGGGAGAGCGCAGTGGGAGTGTGGAGGAGACGGAGGGTATGGGGATGTGGAAGGTTCTGTCTCCAACCCTAAGGGAAATAGAAGTCTCCATTAGCCCGTAAACAGTTGATGGGACTTCGGTATTTTTTTCCATGCTCCTTTTCCTTAAGCGCTCATTGCTTGCCCAGTGCGTCCGAGGGACGAGGCCACTGTGAACGAGGAACTGAGGTCGCCTCTGGAGAGGTCAAGCTTGAGGGCCCGAGTGGCTAAACATCCTGCTCCGTGAGCACCGGCTGTGCTGTGGCACCCCCAAAACTTTTAAATCTTAAGCCTGTAATTTGGACATCATCCGGCACATGCACTATTGGCAACAGTAGAGGGAGCCCGTGTGTCCGGCAAGGGGAGGACAGACGTGGGCAGGGCGGCAGGAGGGGACAGGAGGGGACGGGGGACTGGACGCTCCCGAGCACAGGTAGCAGGAATCCAGCTGAAGCGCAGTGCAGCCAGGAGGACCTCATTGCTTCGATGTGCAGCCCCCCTGCCCTGCCCCTCGGGTGGGCTGTGGGGCAGCCGCGGCGTCTTCTTCTGGGACCCGGGTTGTGGCGCACCCCCACCTCCTCTCACCCCTCAGGGAGTGGGGGGCCGGGTGCACAGTGAGCGTCCGACCTGGACAGGGGTTACCTGGCAGGGAAGGGGAGACGCTGGGACAAGACCCCCCCCCCAGCAGCACCCCACACCCCCAAGCTCGTGCCGGATGCGTCGGTTGCCCGGTAACCGGGTAGTGAGGCTTTGGGAGGGGGGGCGCATTGCGCAGCTGCCAGCAAGCCCCTACTCCCACCCGGGGCCTCCAAGCTGTGGGTGTGGGCGGGTCTGATGGGGCAGGCATGTGCACGTGCGCGCAAGGGACAAATCATCACACCACACACTCCGGGCGAGTTTACAAAAAAAAAAAAAAGGGCTTTATTAATTAAATACAATGGTAAGGGCAAGCGGGGTGGGGGAGGGGCTGCACCCACAGAAAACACAAGCCCCTCATGGGGAACCCCTTCCCTCCCTGCCCACTGCTTCATGGCTGCAGCGAGGTCCCAGGGGGCGGCACGAGCGCACGTGTGTCCAGGCTTGTGGACAGGGGAACCCTGGCCCCTGCAGTGCCCTATACCCGGTGCCGCCAGAGCACCCTGCAAAGGAAACCAGGGCCCCCCGCTGGCGTACGCCCACGCCCAGGAACTAAGGCATCTCACTGGGGCTGCCAAAGAAGGGGGACCCAGGGGAGTCCCCCGTGGACACTGCCAGCCCGGCCAGCTCCAACAGTTGTGCTCTAATGCTGCTCCCGCCTCGCCCCCAGGGTGGGTGTGTATGGGACGGGGAGTCTGTCTGGCCCCCGCCCGTCTTCCCACACACCAGTACCCTACTGTGGGTATGCACGCAGAACCATCGCGGGTCCCCAAAGTTCTCACCCCCAAGTCCATGGCCGGGACCTCAGGCAGCCCCTGTGAGGTTGGTGAGACACCCCCCCCCCGGGGGATAAAAAAGGATTGATGCCTGAAAAAATACTCTACCCGCCCCACAAAAAGAAGACACACCCACGAACTCTCCCAGTCGCCCGGAGCCCCTGGGCTTCCCCTGATTGTCACACAATTCCACAAGGCCAAAGTCGAGGGGGGGGGGCAATCCAGCGAGGGAGTGGGCACGGCAGGCCGCCCCCACCCCTCCCCTGCCACACTCTTTGGATGAACTTGTTTCTCATCCCCCCGTCTCTTTCCCACAGTCTCAGAAAACTGGGACCCGGATCCTTCTAGAAATCCTAGCAGCTGCCCAGCCCCGCCCGGAGCACTGGGGGTGCCAGGCGGCCCCTCCCGTGAGCAGAACCTAGGGACACCTGAGATGGGGGGGACGGCTGTCCAGGCTGCGCCCCGCCCCTAATTTCCCTGAACATACACAATGGCTTTTAGTGGGGGGTTAGAGGGGGAGGGACGGCAGGGGGAGGGCGGGACAGGGTTGCCCACCAGGGCTCCATGTTCACAGGGTGGAGTGAAGTGAACAGTTGTGGCTTTGCGCAGACAGCTGCCCGCGCCCTGGGCAGGCCGGGCTGGCCATCCCCTGTCACCTGGACAGGGCCCCCTGCCTGGCTTGCTCCAGGCGGGCAGGGGTGTCCGCAGTGTCCCCGCCTGGCCCTGGACACAGGCTTGTGTGTGTGTGTCCTCACGTTGCTGGTGGTCCAAGTGGAGGCGCCCCAGCAGCCGGGTGGGGTGGGGATGGGCACACGGAAGCACGGGCCCTCTACAGGCCTGCAGGAGCCGGGCTGGGCGCAGGGCTGGGCGCGGGGCTGCCGGCCAGCGAGTCGTTGGGCGAGCCACCGCGCGAGCCGCCTCGGGTGCCGGGACGCCGGAGCATCTCCGGACGGAAGCCGGGATGTCGCCGTGCGTGCTTGGTCAGATGGTCACTGCGAGTGAAGCGCTTGCTGCACAGCGGGCAGGGAAATCGCTTCTCACCGGTGTGCGTCCGATGATGGCGGGCCAGCTCGTCGGAGCGTGCAAACTTCTTCTGACAGCCTGGCCAGTCGCAGGCAAAGGGGCGTTCACCTGGAGAGGGGCAGGCGAGAGGAGGACAGGTGGTGGTCAGACAATGCACTTCAAACGCGTCAAGAATGCTGACCGCAACCCCAACCCGCATCCCTGTCAGATCTCACCTGGTCATCCCACAGGGACCCAGAGCAGGGATACCGGCCAAGTGGGTGTCCAGGGGGTTGGGGACAGAGAAAGATGGGAAAAGAATTTCCCTTCTCCACCCCCACTGCCCGCCCACCCACCGACCGGCCATCCGAGACCCCACCAACGGCCCCGGTATGCGCTTCCAGGCGCAGCTGCAGCCTGCACGGGCTGTGGGACTCGGGTTCCCGGAGTGGGCAGCGTGGGGAGCCCAAGGCACCAATGGCCGGCCGCTTGGGCGGGAAGGCGCAGAGAGGCGGGGCCTCCGGGAAGGGGCGGGCCTCCAGGAGGCGACTTCCTCCACAGACCCCTCCCGCCGTCCATGCTGCGCCTCCCCCATCCTGTCCCGACCCCCACCGTCCTCCCCAACCCGTGTGGAGGGGGTGGTCTCTGCTCTAGAGGCGGCTGCGGTATCCTGCCCCAGGTCTGAGACAACCGTGTGGGTGACACCTCCTCAGGGTCAGGGTGGTCTCCAGTACAGGTCGGCCCCACCCTGCCCATGGGGGGCTCTGTAAATGCCTAAGATTTTAAGGGGTGGGGTCGTACGCGGGCAACGCTTCTCCCCCCCCCCCCATCACGGGGTACTGGCTGTAATATCCCCCGGACCCCGGGGTACAGCAAGACCCGAGCCCCAGAGCTGCAGGAATCCTTAGGAAGATGGTCCCCTCGCAGGTCACAATTCAGAAACAGAACAGACCTACAGCAGCTAGCCCAGGGTGGCACCTGCCACGGCCCCTCCCTCATCACGCCCATGGTGAAGGATGGGAGGGCGGGGGTCTCAGCCGGGCAGTCCCCCACCACAAGCACACACAGATCCCAGGAGGCTGGGGAGCCACAGGCAGATGCACCAATCTGCTTGCAGCACAGTTGCGCCCCTCCCCAACACACACAGGGGACAAGGCCCAACTGCACCCTAGGGGACTGTCACTCCCAACTAGGACAGCCCCAGGGCCTCAGGCTGGAGGCGGGCGAAGCAGTAATAGCGTGTAGTGGTGGGGGTGGAAGTGAGCAGACCCCGGGTGGGGGAGTCACACCTCTCCTGGGGTGGGGGTGGGGGGGCAGGCAGCGCTGTCGCCATCTTCCTGCTAGGGCGCAGAGGCAGAAGGGGAGAGGGAGCAGCAGTCAGCTCACTTCCCCTTTTCAGGGTAGTGGGGCTGCTCCCTGCCTCCCCTCTTTTCCCCTCCTCCAGTTCCACTTTGCAGCGAGCAGGTTGCAGCCCAGGCAGGAGGCGCGCGGTGGTGCCAGCAGCACCCGCCCGCCCGCCAGGGCAGGGCGCACGCAGCCGCTGGGAACACAGCTGCCGCACGTAGCTCGGCGGCGGCGGGGACATCCCCAGCCAGCCCCGCTCACGTGGTCCCCTCTCCCGCCAGGGCCAGGGGGCCCCGGGCCAGGGTCGCTTCTCCAGCTCTGGGCGCTTGCCAGCCCCCGCCCCATGCCTAGTGGCTGGGGCGCCGGCACGTGAGCCTGTGGGTGGCGGCACGGGGTGGAGGGAGGGGGTGCGCAGCTTCCCGTCCCCCCTCCTCCGCTCCCCTGCAAGCCGACCGCCTGCAAAATGCCAGGCTTGGCCACCCTGGCTCTCGCAGGGGCGCAGGGGGGAGGGGATGCGCCGAGGGGAGAGAGCTCTATGCCCGCCTGGCTACCTGGCAGGAACGCGCGGGCGGCGCCAGAGGAGAGGTGGATGCGGTGGTGGGTGGGGATCGCAGAGGAAAGGCCCGTGGGGCGGGGCCACGCTGGACTTGACCCTCTGACTCAGGCTGGGCCCCGGGTGAGCTAGGGACAGCGGGGCGGCTCGGCTCAGCGCCTCAACCTGCTGGCAGGGTCTGGCTTCCTCAGGGAGGAGGCAAGCTGGCTCCCAGGGGGTGGGCTGGGGGGCTCCTGCTGGAGGGAGGAGAGCAGTCCCAGACCAGGTGAGGCACAACCTATGAGGGAGCCATGAGGGGTGTGGTCAAACACCCCAAACTTCCCATGTGCCTCAATCCTGCATAGGAACCTCCCATCCCTCCCCCGCCCCTAGCCCACCACCCAGGATCAGCCCGCACCTCTGCATGGAGGCAAGTCTCTACCTACTAAGGGATCAGTGGTCCCCCCCATACTCTGCCAGCCCCCCACCCGCCACAGCTGACAGCACGCCCCCTCCCCGGTTCCCACTTCTAGGGAGACAGTCCCTTTCTGCTTGGTATCACCGCCAGCCAACTCCCAGCCCATCTGGGCAAACCTTTATCAGGGAGCCAGGGTGGGGTGGGGTGGGGGGTGGTTATCACCCCCTGCAATGCTGGGGACCCTCCCCACCCCCAGCAGCCAGGGGCACCTACTTACTACTGCCTGTGCCAGCTGCTGTCGCACCCAACGCCCCCGCCCCACCCCGGCTGGAAGGAGGCGGGGGCAGTGTGCAGGACTGGGGCTGGGTCTATCTGGAGTCTCTTCACAGAGCGGGGTTTGGGGGAATGACGCAATGGGATCAGACCAGGGGTCCGTCCACCCAAGGCCCAAGGCTTTCCCTCCCTCCCAGCCCCTCTCCCACCCTAATCCCTTGATGGGTAAACGGATTTGCCCTGCCTCCCAGCTCCCCACACGCAGGATTAAACACTCAACAACCCTCCACCTTGCTTGGAACCCCCTCCCCACCTCCACACCCCAGGGCCTTTGGTGGGGGGGGGCACAGTTTCCAGGCCCACCCTCCTCCTCCTCCTGCCATCAGCAATCCTGTCACCAGCCCCTCCTCCACAAGGGGCCCAGCCCAGGCGCAGCACACAGTAGGTGCTTAACACAGAGCACAGAATAGCTGGGGGTTCCGGGAATACTGACGTGCAGTGGGTGGAAGTGGGCACCCCCACACACACTCCTGGGGGGCTCAGTGGGGGCGCTCGGCTCCCAGGGGCAGAGTAGAGGCAGGCAGCAGGCGGCAGCCAGCCTCTCTCTCTCTCCCCGCCCCCGCCCCATCGCCGGCTCTCAGTATCCACGGCAACGGCGTCAACATCTCCCAGAGCTTCAGAAGTCCCTCCCGCCCCACGCGGGAGGCTGGGGGCTGCTAGGAGGGTTGGGGGGGGACAGGGGGCAGGCACAGGGGGGGCCACAGCTCTTTTGTTGTTGTCATTCCGCTAAGGGCAAACCACTGCCTTAATCTATTCACCTGTGAGATGGGCTTAAGCAAAAAACGTCCCCAGGCAAGGGTGGGCCCCTCTCCCAACCCATCCCCTCCCCCTCCCCACCACACACACCCAGGTTTGTGCAAATGCTGGTGCCCAACTGCCAGCACCTCACCAGCTCCTTCCAACACGCGGCTTTGCCCTTCCTGGCGTTCCCTCCCACGGGGAGCGGGGTGGGAACCCCGCACACCTTCCAAGGACACGCGCTGGGGGACCTGAAGTCACCAGCACACGGCGGTGCCTCCCTCAGGTGGCCGACTCGAGCTGTTATTACAAGGGGGGCTTGGGCATGGCCCAGGTTCCCACCCTGATGGCGGAGGTGGTCTGCCCCTCCTCCCCCTGCCCCCAGCACAAGGCCTGGAAGAAACTAAACTTGCCAGCATACTGGCAAGGGGAGGGAGGTCAGGGGTCGGGCCCCCTCACCCTCTACTTGGGGCAAACTCATCCCCAAACCATGGGGGGCTTACCCTAACACCATCTCACAAGCACTCAACATCTGGAACACCTCAGGCACCCAGAGCCAGCCCAGGGGGTGCGCCCTACCTAGAGAGCCTAGAAACCGCCTCCAGAAGCCAATGTGGGGAGACCCTTAAACCCAACCAGGACCCACCCGCCCCCTGCGTTCCTCTCCACCCTTGCTAAAGGCACGGGGGTCTCAAGCGGAACGCCAAGGACCACGGAGGGAGCAGAAAAGGTGTCCACAGCAGACGGACAACCACGTGTGTGTGTGTGGGGGGGGGGAGGCTGGCCCCAACGCTCCCACAACGCCTCCCGCCTGGATCCCAGGTGTGTGGGTGGAGTTGGAGGAGCCCGGTCCTCCCCTCCACCGCCGGCTGCTCCCCTTTGGCGCACGACTCCCAGCCCCACCTCGTGAAAACGCGGAAAGATCGGCAAGAAAACTCGCCCGGCACCCACAGCCTGGCGCGGCTCCAGGGGCTCGTGCGCCCTCCCGGGAGAATCCGCGCGGCCACCCCAAGAGGCAGCGGACGATCCGGCTCCTCCACCCCCCTCACCCCCCACCCTGGGGCCGGATGCTGCAGTCAGGGTGCCCATCACCCAGCGGAGAAGGCAAAAAGGGAAACGAGAGGCCGGCCCGCGGCCGAGCACCTCCTGGGGTGCCCAGTCTGGCCAGGCCGTCCCAAACGCACCCCCGACCCCCGGGTTCGCGGACGGACCCCGCTGCGCCCCGCCAGCCCGTGGAGCCGGGGCCTGGCCATCCCCGGCCGCCCTCCGCGCGCCGTCCGACCGCGTGGCCGCCACGCCCCCCCCTCCGGCGCGCCCCACCCACCGGGGCCCCGCCCTCCCGGCCGGCGCGGGCGCGCCCCCTCCCCGCCCCCCACGCGCCACGCAGTTTCGGGGTCCCGGCGGCGGGGGAGGGGGGCCGTGAGAGGGGGGGGGGACCGAAACGCATAGGCGACCCGTGGCCACCGCGCCACTCACCTGTGTGTGTCCGCAGGTGCGACTTGAGGTGCGAAGACTTGTAATAGGCTTTGGCGCAACCCGGGAAGGGGCAGCGGTGGCTCTTGGCGGCGGCGGCGGAGGACGAGGAGGAGGAGGAGGAGGCGGTGGCGGGTGCAGCGCCGGGGGCGCGGCCAGAGCCGGGAGACGAGGCGGTGGAAGAGGAGGAGGCGGGAGAGGCGCCCCCCGGGGCGACCGAGGGCCCGCCGCGCAGGTCGGCCAAGATGCTGGCGGCCAGCAGGTGGGGCGCGGCGGCTGCCGGGGCCCCGGAGCCCGAGCCGAGGTTCAGCGAGGTGGGAGCCGGCGGAGGTGGGGGCGCCGCCGGGGCCCCGGGCGGGGCGGCCTCGCGGCGTGCGGCACGCACCTCCAGGCCAGCGGTGGGGCCCGCGCCCTCGGGGCCGGGCCGCCCGCGGTGCACCACGGCGCCCGAAGAGATGGCCATGAGCACGTCGGCGGCGAAGTAATCCACGCACGCCACGGCAGCCGACATGCCGGGCTAAGGGCGCGCGGGCCGGTGGAGGAGAGGAGAGCGGTGCCCGTCCGGCCGGCGGCGGCTACTTAAGTGCTGGAGGCGGAGGAGGAGGAGGAGGAGGAGGAGGAGGCCCCGGCGCGCGCCGCCGCCGCCGCCGCCACCCGCGCTCGGCCCGCCCCGCCCCGCCCAGCCCCGCCTGACGCGCCCTGACGCACCGGAGCCCGCGGGGGCGGCCACGGCCCGCCCCTCCCGGAGGACGCCCCCTCGGGGCGCCGCCGCCACGCCCCCCGCCCGGCGCGCCCTCCGCCCGCAGCCCGCGAGCCGCGCGCCGCCGCCAACACCGGGAGGCGGAGGCCCGGCCTTGGAGCCAGCCCCCGGGGCGCGCCCACCTCCTCGGCGCCGGAGAGCGTCCCGGCTAGATCCCCGAGTGCGCGCGCGCGCGCGCGAGCGCTCCGGACCCGCTTCTCGGGTGGGAAGACTCCCCGATCCTCACACGCCCACGAGTGGCCGGCGCGCCCCCTCTTTCCCTTCCCCGCTCGGACCCGGGCGCGCCCTTGCCTTCTCCCTCCCCTCCCACCCGGCGCACGGTCCCGCCTCCCTCGCGGGCGCGCCCACCCCCAACGCCGGAGCGCGCCCGGCCGGCCGGCGGGAGCCCGCCCCCTGCCCCGACGCTTCCACTTTGGCCCCGGGCGCGCCCCCGTTCACTTTGCAGGGGGGGGGAGGAGGAGGGCTGCGAACCCCACGTGGCCGGAGTGAGGGGGGGTGCGGAAGCTGCCGGCCCCGCCCCCAGGCCACGTGCGCGACCCTCCCCCCCTCCCCACCTCTGCCGGCTTGGGCCCTACTTTTCCGCCCCTTGCTTCCTCGGAGTACCCCCTTCTCCTTGCCATGCTCGGATTCTGGGCGCCCGGGATTCCGCGGTGAGACCGGGGGGATTGGGGACCCGCCCCGCCCGTTCACTCGCGCCAGCTTTCGTTCCTGTTTTTTTTTTTTTTGGCCACCGGCTCAGGAGTTAACTGGAGTGAGGAGGCCGGGAACAGCGGGAGAGGAGCCAGCAGGGCGGTGGCGCAAGGGCTCAGCGCCCTGCTGGGACCCGGAGATTCTGCTTTCTAATCTACCAAACCGGCCCCCTCGGGCAGGGAACGTAAGGCCAGCTGCTGGCGACGCCCGGAGCCACCCCCCCCCTCCTCGAGGACGCTCGGACTGGCACATGGCCTGGCGGGGGACACCCCCAGCCCCGGAGTCCAGGCATGGCAGGCGCGGGCGGGGAGCGAGCCAGAGGGCGACCATGCTCCCGCCGGACCGGGCGGACCTGCAGTGGCCGCCGCGACCTCCAGAGGGCGGAGCTGCGCGGCCTGGGCATGGACTGCGGGTGTGGACAGAGGCCCAGCCCGGGTCTCCCCTGCAGCTTCGCAGCCAGCTGACCTGGGTAGGTTCGGCGGCCCTTCCCGCCCCGTGTAGTCACCGCCTCCTGGGTGCCCCGTTCTGCAGCGCTGACCACACTTGGCCGTGCCCACTTCTGTGTATTAGGAAGCCTGAGCCCTCGGGGAGTAAGGGGAGGGTGTTCTCCGGTGGTGCCCGCGTACACGTGGCTGGACAAGACCAGCCCAGTCCTAGGTGTGGTGTGGCAGGTTGCCTGAATACACCTGCTCCATGTGCCTGCCTGCGCTGGAGGGGCTGGCTGGGTCGGCCATCTCACCCTCGCTCAGGGGCACTGCCTTACCCCGCTGCCCACAGGGCTTTCTGTCCTCTGGTCTGCCTCAGCCCTGGCCCTACCCTCAAGGCCTGCGCTGGTGGGCTCTGCAGGATGAGACCCCTCCCAGGGCAGGTGTGTAAGACCAAGGTCAGGGTTCTCGCCTTGGGAGGCAGGAAAGGGGGCTCAGCCTCTTCGAAGGTGCCAGGCGGTGAAGGCTCAGTGGTGCCAAGGCTGCCCACCTGGAGCAGGTTCCTGTACCGTGTGCTAGCTGGATCAAAGGGGTTCCAGGCCAGTGGCCATCACATGGGAAAGAGGGCATGATGGGCACTCTGCAGGTAGGTGGGGGTTGGCAGCTCACACTTCATCCCCGAGGTTTCTATCCTGCTGTCCCCCGAAGCTCAGGCCAAGGGGTGAGGCATGGCAAACAAGCTCGGCTGCCACCTGCGGTGCCACCATCCCCTTACCTGACTGTTCTGCCTATACACCTGGGAAGGCAGCAGAGGTGGCCCAAGTGGGGGCCCCTGCACCCACGTGGGGGCCCCAGGGGGGGTGCCAGGCTCCTGGCTGTTGACCTGGTGCCACCGGGCAATTAGTTACTGGTATTTGGGGGAATTAACCATGGCAGAGCACCCGCAGCAAGCGCAGGCTGCACTTGGCTCAGGGGGAACACAACAGGGGTGGACGGTACATGCCTGTGCCTGTGGGAAACCTGGAGACCCCTCCCGACCCATCCTGGGGGGCAAGGGGCTCCCAGGAGGCTGAGGTGTGTGACGTGTGGGTGGGAGGGGCCTGAGCAGGAGAGGGCACGGTGCCCCAGGGGTCAGCTCCCTGCGTTGGCCTCGAGGACATCAGGGTGAGCCAAGCCAATCATTTGCCACTGGCCTGTTCTCCCAATCATGGTCAGAGACACAGATCATTGAAACGCACACTGGGGTCATTTAATGACAGAGAAAGTGTGATGCATCAGCAGGCAGCACTTGGGGTTCGGGTGCTCCCTGGCTGCTGCCAGTACCCCAATGGAGGAAAGGAGGCGGGTGTGGTTACACTGTTCGTAGGGGAAACAAGAAGGTCGGAGATGGCTACTAAGTTTCAGGCATTCCACAGACGGGGAGAGCAGGGCCAGGCCCCAGGGCTCCCCCTGGACTTCCAGAGCAGTTCAGGGGTTAGGAGGTGGCCGGCCAGCTTCTGACACCCGGTTCCCCCAAGGAGCTGATGTTCAAAGTCTCCAGCTGTCACACTGTCCAGAGAGGGGCAGCTCAGCTCAGAGGGCCGGCCTCCCCTCTCTCTCCCGGGGGATTCCTCAGCACCCTACTGCTGGGCCTGTCCTCACAGGGGCACAGCGGGGTCAGCATCGCCTGTCGGAGTGTCCCACACAGGGCCACGTCCACACGCCCGGGGGGGAAGGCAGTGGGGACAGCCCAAAGGCTCGGACCCCTGAACCCACCCCAGGGGGGAGACCCAGAGGGAGCACCTGGCTGCAGTCACAGCAATTGTAGCCATTTGGGGAGTGAACCAGCCTATGTGAGACCCCCTGTAACTGCTCTTCCAGTAGCTGAATAAATGGCTTTTGGCAAATGATAATACAGTGCTGGGTTTCCCAAAGAGCACTTGGCCTGGCTGCTGGGTCCCGGCTACACCTGCTGCTCCGGGCTGAGGATGGAGAAGGGTGCAGGGTTGGCAGGCAGTTTGCCGAGACCACAAGGTCAGGTTCACACAGGGAGGTCAAGCAGATCCCCGCAGAGATGGGCCAAGTACAAACCCAGCACTACCTTGCCCCAGTATGGGCTCAGCTCCCTGGGGGTGCGCTGCACCCCCACAATCTGACAATCCTGGGGGACACTGCACACCCCAGCCAGGCCCAGTCCTTGTGGCTGGAGTACCCACTGCTGTCCGTGACATGTGGGTCATGGATAAGCCGTAATGAGTACAGGATGGCCCTTCTCCCAGATGGCCTGGCAATGGCCACCAGGGGGTCAGACCCCTTACGTGTTCCTGCATGTTTTTCTGAGGTCTCTGCACCCGAGGATGCAGCAAGGGGCAGCTGTGGGGTCTGGCCCCTGCGCCCGGGGGTGGAAGTGGGGTCGGGTCCCGCGCCCGGGGGGTGGGAGTGAGGCCCCTGCGTCCGGGGCAGGCTGTGGGGTCGGGTCCCGCGCCCGGGGGGTGGGAGTGAGGTCCCTGCGTCCGGGGCAGGCTGTGGGGTCGGGTCCCGCGCCCGGGGGATGGGAGTGAGGCCCCTGCGCCCTGGGCAGGCTGTGGGGTCGAGTCCCGCGCCCGGGGATGGAACTGGGATCCAGCCCCTGAACCCGCGCCCTGCCTGGCCCGAGGCGCCGGCACTTACCGCCCAGGCAGCCGCCACTTCCGCGTGCCCGGGATTCCGCTTCCGCTTCCGCCCAAGCCGCCGCGCACGCGAGGGGGCGTGTCAGAGAGCGGTGGTCCCGCCCCCAGGCCTGAAGCTCCGCCCCCATTAAAGGGGCCGCCCACCTCACTCCCGATTAAGGGAAACAGGGCGCCGTGGGGTGCTGGTGTGGCCGCTGAGGAGGACGCAGCCCCCCGGGGCCTCGGGCAGTGGCCGCTCGCGCCCACCAACCTCGCCCGGATGCCAGCAGGGAGCCCGGGGGGTCCCAGGGGCGCTCCAGGGTGTCCACGCACCCACCCACCCTGTGGCAGCTAGGGGACGCATCGCAGTGAGCGGACAGCATGACAGCAGCCCTAAAATTTTAAATCTTTTAATTCCTCTTCACGTATTCCTTCTGTTGCTTCCGAAAAGGAGAAAGAACGTGCGCAACAGCAGCAGCAGCAGCAGCAGCTCCGCCGCCCCGCCTTGTCCATGGCCCCCGGGGGCCGGGGCGCGATCCGCCGCCCGCCCTGTGCCCGCAGCAGCCGAGGGCGGCCGGCCCGGGGTCCCACATGCAGCCCCGGGCCCGGGGGGCGCCCTGCGGGCCGGCGGCCCGGTTATTGCTGAGGTCCCGGCGCGGCCGCCTCAGGAGCGCTGGCTGGCCAGCTCCTGGGAGATGAAGTGGCGCAGGCGCTCCAGGTACTGGCTGTACAGCTCGATGTCGTTGTGCCCGGCGCCCTCCACCCACAGCGGCTCCACGGCCTTGGGGCAGCGCTCGTACAGCGCCAGCCCGTGCGAGAAGTCGATCACCTCGTCCTCCGTGCCGTGGATGATGAGCACGGGGGACGTGATCTTGGACACCTTCTCGATGCTGCGGGGGCCGGGCAGTGGACGGAGGGTCAGGCCCCGCCCACAACCACCGCCCGACTCCGCCCCTGACCACGCCCTCCGGGAGGCCCGCTCACCAGCTCCCCGACTCCGCCCCTACCCCCTGACCACGCCCTCCGGGTGGCCTGCTCACCACCAGCTCCGACTCCGCCCACACCATCCGGGTGGCCCCGCCCCTCCCCGACCACGCCCTCCGGGTGGCCGGCTTACCACCAGCTCCCCGACTCCGCCCCTTCCCCCTGACCACGCCCTCCGGGTGGCCGGCTCACCAGCTCCCCCGACTCCGCCCACACCGCTGCCCCGCCCCGGTCGACATGGCCCCGCCCTGACCACACCCCCTCGGGCCGGCCCCGCCCCCGCCCCGCTGCTCACTTGGGGAAGGCGTCGAAGCAGTAGGTCTTCTTGGTGTCCGGGAAGGCCACGCGCATGCCGGACGTGAGCGGCGAGTGCAGCACCACGGCGGCGCACTCATAGCGCGAGGCCAGGTCCACCGTGGGCACCGTGCCGATGCTCTGGCCGTACAGGATGATGCTGTCCGGGCTGATGCCGTACCTGTCGGCAGCGGGGCACGTGGGTCACTCCAGCACACCGTACCCCCCCTCAACGCACACACCCCTCTGTGGCCTGCGCTGGCTCGCCAACACTGGACACCTAGCAAAGAGGGGTCCTGCGCTTTCTCCCTGCTTCCCACCCCCACACTGGCCAGCAGACAGACAGGACAGAGGGAGGCTCTGCCCCAGAGCTGCCATCTTCCTCCCTGCCCGTGCTCCAGGTCACTGACCATCAGACCTGTGCTCCCCCACAGTCTCGGGCCCCACTTGGGGTTCCCTGGGGTACCCCATGTCCAACCACTGACAGCCAGGGCACAGCCCGCACCGTCCCTGCAGTGTCTGGTCCGTCTCAGGACTGCCCGGCCACACCTACACCCTCACCCAGTCCTTGGCCTCATTCCCCAAGGAGCTGGCTCCACGCCCTGGGTACTGGTCACAACATCTGTGCAGGCCTCCCCAGCTCTCCTCCCGCCAGGCCCTGACCCTGACCCCAGGGGCCCTGTCTGGTGCACAGGGCCACACACCTGCACGCCCAGCCAGGGCTCCCCTGTCCCCACATGCTGGCAGCATGGCAGTCAGCCACCTGCAGGTGGGCCAAGGCTCCCACTGTCAGGAGCCAGCCATGCCCTTTCACCCACCCCCAGGGGGCCCGGCACCCATTTCCACCACGAGGTGGGCCACCCAGCCAGCCAAGGAAAGGTCTACCTCGCACATACTGAGTGAGGGATGGGACCAGCTTGGACCAGGGCGGAAGGGAGATGGTGGTCATGGTAGCAGGAGCCGAGGCTGCAGATGGACCTGTGCTCCAGGCTGGCACATGAGGCCCACTGACCTCCCCGGCCCAGCCAGCAAGGCTGAGCTGGGCACTCAAGGGCCCGAAAGAGCCCTTCCACAGCCCTTGGCTGCCCTCCCAGTGGTGGCTCCCTGAGGGAGTGCCCACAACGTGCCCCTGGGTGGCCTTGGGCCTGGCTCTTGTTGAAGAGGCATGGGGGTACCCCGCACCTGGCTCGCAGGGCCTGCCAGGCAGCGTCCACATCGGCGTATAGGTTCTTCTCGGAGGGCTTGCCCGAGCTGGCGCCGTAGCCAGAGTAGTCGTAGGAGAAGATGTTGCAGCCGATGCGAGTGCCCAGGCCCAGGTAGAAGCTGCTCATCTGGCCCAGGTCCACTGCGTTGCCGTGCGAGAAGAGGACCGTATACCTGGCCGGGAGCGCGGGGCAGGGCACAGGGCTGGGCCGGAGGGGGGTGCAGCTGCACCTCCGCTCCGGCCCTACTCAGCTCACCTGGTTCCCCCGCCCCACCCGGACCCAGCTGGAAGCAGAAACTTGCCCTTTGGACTCTGGCAGTGAGAACCACCCCCCAGGCTCCCAGCAAGGACCAGCCCTGTGGCTGGGGTCCAAGCGAGCAGGCTGCGCACCTGAAGGGAGACGGGGTGCCCCCTCAGCAGGGGTGTCTTGGGTCAGGGTGCCCCACCTCCTCACCTGGCAGCTGGCACGCAGCGCACGTACATGCAAGCAACCCGGTTGCCACGCACACTCTTGGTCAGGAAGACCTCAATGGTGTCAAGCTCACGCTGGCCATACTGGAAGTCGGCGCGCTCCGTCAGGTGCAGCTTCCAGCGCTTGGGCGTGCCGCCGGCCGAGGAGGACCGCAGGGTCCCCAGGGAGGAGGCCCCGGCTGTTCCGGGGCCGGGCTCGGGCTCGGGCACCAGGGAATAGGTGGCCTCCGGGGGCAGGAAGGCGAGCTTGGCAGCGATGCGGCCGGGGCATGGCGGACAGCAGAAGAGGCAGCACAGCTCGCTCACGGACAGGCCGTTCATGGCGGGCGCCAGGCACCGGGCCGGGCCACGCCGGGCGGGGAAGGGGCGGGGGAGCTCCGAGACGCGGGCGGCGGGGAGGGCGTCCCCCAGGGCCACACCGCCCCAGACGACAGGCTGTTAGGAGGCTGCGGCCCAGCCCCATCGCGGTCCGAGCCGAGCCCTGGGGAACCTTGCAGCTACAGGCCTCCATACTGTGCAGTGGGAAGTGCTGTGGGGACACAGAGAAGGGAATTCCTCTAGGGAGCACCTAGGCTGGGGCTCCCCCAGGGAAGCCCAGTGACCCCTGCCACCCCCAGGCAGGCCCCCACCAGCAGGCAGGCAGGCCCAGGCGCTCCCACAGGACAGCCCAACGGGAGTCAGGGGAATTAGGCACAGGAAGCATGGTAAACAAAGGTGCTGTGAACTGGGAAGGGGGCCAGCGCTGGGTCACAAGGGGGAAGGAGCTGTGGGGGACTCAGGAGGCTGGACCTGCCCACGCAGGGGCCCCCGCTGAACCCCCATCACTACAACATCCCTGCCAGCTTTGCCAGGTACCCTCTGCCCTGGGAAGAGAAGGGCAAGGGGCTGCACTCCACAGGGTGCCAAAAGGACTGCCATGGGGCAGGGGTACAAGCTGCTGGGCACACCCGGCTTTGGGTAACAGTGCTTGGAGAGCACCGGGCCCAGGCAGTCACACACACACACACACACACACACATAGGCCACTGCCCAGGGACACAGCAGCTCCCCCAGCCACGTCCCTCTCTCACATTCAGAGACAGACAGGGGGCTGTGAAAGAACTTGAGAGGGAATGTCCAGGGGTGCTCCCCGTCGCCCCCAGTTCTTTTGGGAGAGCACGGTGGCCTCTCTTCACACCTGCCTGCATCTGGGGCCATCTATAGCTGCCCCAACTGAGGGTACTTCTGGAGGGCCCCTCACCAGCCAATCGGGGAGTGCCCCCGGACATTAACAGGTACACAGGGTGGACGACGGCCCAGTGTGCCAGGCCAGGAACCCGCCCACAGCCTGCTGGCTCCTCCTGGGGCCACCTCCGTCACCTCTCACCTCCTTCCCGGTCAGCGTCACCCAGCTCCCGCCACCCCTGGCCAGACAACGCCCGCTTCCCCACTGTCCTCACCACCCTGGTGTGGGGATAGACCACAAACCCAAAACCCCAGCTGATCCCCTCGGGGTGACCCACCCACCCGCACACAGCTGCAAAGTGGTCAGGACACCATCCCGTTCCCCTGCCAGCATCCCTCAGGGCACAGGTACAGGCAGACAGGCAGGGATGAACCAGGGGATGGCAAGGGGCAAGCAGCTGATGGGATGGTCCCCCCGCCCTCCCGTGAGACAGAGGGGTGCACCATGACAGACAGCCCTGCAGAGTAGTGAGGGTCTGCATTCCAGGGCGGGGGTGGACCTGTCCCAGCCGACAGGATCAGAGCCTTAGGCAGCTCAGAGTGGACACTCCGCGCACCCCCACACCCAGTGGGTGAACACCCACTGCGCCCCGCACCCTGACAGCCCGAGGGTGCAACCCACTGTGCTATGGCCATCCCAATGGACTGAAGATTCCTTGCACCCCACAGCCCTAGGGTGCGACCCACTGCTCCCCACACCTTGGCATCCCGAGGGTGAGCACCCACGATGCTCCCCACACCCTGGCACCCCGAGGGTGAGCACCCACTGCTCCCTACACCCTGGCACCCCGAGGGTGAGCACCCACTACTCCCCACACCCTGGCACCCCGAGGGTGAGCACCCACTGCTCCCCACACCCTGGCACCCCGAGGGTGAGCACCCACTACTCCTCACACCCTGGCACCCCGAGGGTGAGCACCGACTGCGCCCCGCACCCCGAGGGTTGCACACGAACTGCGCCCCATATCCCACACCCCGAGGGTGAGCACCGACGGCGCCCCGCACCTCGAGGGCGCACCCCGCTCTCCCGGCTGCCGCCCGGGGCCAGGCAGGCATGGAAGGACAGGTGCAGGCGCTGCTGGGGGACGTCCGGTCCGGCTGCTCGGGCCTCGCGGCCCGGTCCAGCTCCCCAAACGGCCGCGGCCAGCGGAGGCCATGGCGCTCCCGCCCGGCCGGCCCCCGCACTCACCGCCGCGGCCCGCGCCCCCCGGCCCCGGGCCGGCGCTCCATGCTGCCGGCCGCCCGCCCGCTGTCGTCCGTCGGTCCTCCACCCCGAGTCCGGCCTCCTGCGCCGCCGCCGCCGCGCCTCGGCCAGCGGAAGTGACGCGCGCCTGCTCGCGGGGCCGGCCGCTGGCAGGGCGCAAGCGCGGGGGCGTGGCTGCCAGCGCTGGGGCGGGGCCTGCGGGAGGGGAGGGGCTGTAGCGGGGGCGTGGCCTGCGGGAGGAGGCGGGGCTGCAGCAGGGGCGGGGCTCGAACTGTACCCGCCTTCACTCATTCATTCACACCATCACTTTTGCTTTCATGCTTTAATTTTATTTTACTTTTGTAAAATTTTTATAAATTTTTTTAAAGATTTTATTTTTATTGCAAAGTCACATATATAGAGTGGAGGAGAGACAGAGAGGAGGAGAGATAGAAAGGAAGATGCTCCATCCATTGGTTCACTCCCCAAGCGGCCTCAACAGCCAGAGCTGAGCTGATCCAAAGCCAGGAGCCAGGAGCCTCTTCCGGGTCTCCCATGCGGGTGCAGGGTCCCAAGGTTTTGGGCTGTCCTCGACTGCTTTCCCAAGCCATAAGCAGGGAGCTGGATGGGAAGTGAAGCAGCTGGGACACAAACTGGTGTCCATATGGAATCCTGGGGTGTGCAAGGCCACTAGGCCACCGCTCAGGGCCCAGGATTCTTTTTAAAATAAAGATTTATTAGGTAAATGGCCCAAATATGGTAGACCTGGGATTTCACCTGGAAATTTCCCCAATCCTGACCTGAGCAGAGATGCAGTACTGAGCAGAGCTGGGGGCAGGGCTGCAGCAGGTAGAAGAAAGAGGTGGGGGTGGGGGAGAACCCTGCTCCACCCCCAGGCCTGTGTGGGCTCAAGTCCCCTCCTCCTCCCAGAGACTTTGCCTAGATAAGCCTTTAGCCAATCCTGCCTCCAGGGCCTCATTCCTCAGAGACTCTAGGACAAGCCACCCCTTCCCACCCCTGCTCCCTGCAGGCCCCTGCCATCCCAGGCTGTCCTACCTCCCCAGCCGCCCAGTCCCTGTGACTGGCACCCCAGCTGTGCTGGCTGGGCCAAAGGTCAAAGGGCCCAGACTCCCCTGCATTTCCTGTGACTTCTCCAGGCGCCAGGCGGGCAGGAAGAGGCCTCTCCCGGCCTGCTTCCTCCAGGAGGGGCAGGCTTTTCGCCCGCACCAGAAAGCCCAGTTCAGTCAACCCACACATGGCCACAAGCTGCTCCACCAGGGATACACCAGGGAGGGGTGTGCTCCGGGAGGTGATTGTGGGGCCCGCCCTGGCCGCCTCCAAGGGGCATGGTTGGATTATGTGGGTACTGCCAGTTCCTCTGTGCCTCTAGTGCCTTCAGAGCCCAGCTGCTGACTTTTTGCCTGGTGGATAAGCTTCACTTCCCCAAGGACTCCTCCATGACTGCCCCACTCCCGCCCCCTACCCCTGTGGTCCCATGGATGAGAACATTGTCCCACCACACTCCCACCATTGTTTGTGTGTCATCTATGGTTCCCACTAAGCTGATGCTTCCACAGCCTGAGCTGGGGTTAGGCTGAAGCCAGGAGCCGCATCTGAGACTCTCATGTGGGTGGGTGACAGAGACCCCAAGTGCTTGAGCCCTTGCCTGCTGCCTGCCAGGGGGCACAGAGGAGCCAGAACCAAAATTTGAGCCCAGTCATGCAGGGCGGAATATCAGTGGGCACCTGCCTGGCTCAGGTCCACCTGGGGACCGCATCATTGTCCAGAAGTGGGGTCCCATGGGAGGGTTCCCAACAGCTGCTGTGGGCTCCGGATGCTATGCCGTGGTGAGCAAGACTTTGTCCATGTTGCTTTGCAAGGGATGGGTGCATTGCTAATACAAACCAGCGGCTGGCACCCAAGGAAGACCAAGGCAGGAGTTACAAATGAATGCTGGGGTGGGCCATAGGTGGCGAACTCAGCTGTGGGCACACCCATGGCCCACGTTGGAGGGTCGCTCCTGGCATGCAGCCGTGGCCCACTCCAGAGGGTCGATCCTGGCTCCATTGACCTGCTAAGGTGCCTGGGAGCAGCAACACAGTCCAAGGAACTAGGTCCCTCCCACCAAGTAACAATTCCTATCTTTCATTGCAGCCTTTTGTAGAATCAACCAGCAAATGGAAGATTTTCTCTCACTCTGACTTTCAAATAATAAACAAAAACTAAAAATAAAAATGTAGGGCCTGGCAGCGTGGCTTAGCGGCTAAAGTCCTCCCCTTGAACACGCCAGGATCCCATATGGGCGCCGGTTCTAATCCTGGCGGCTTCACTTCCCATCCAGCTCCCTGCCTGTGGCCCGGGAAAGCAGTGGAGGACGGCCCAAAGCCTTGGGACCCTGCTCCCGCGTGGGAGACCTGGAAGAAGCTCCTGGTTCCCAGCTTCAGATCAGCTCAGCTCCGGCTGTTGTGGTCACTGGGGGGGAGTGAACCCCGCAGATAGAAGATCTTTCTCTTTTGTTTCTCCTTCTCTGTGTAAACCTGTGTTTCCAATACAAATACAGCTTAAAAATAAAAACTATGTTTCTGAGGCTGGGGTATTTATCTCAAAAAGCAGAAAGCACATACTGGCAGGTAGGTTTCACACCCTTAGCCAGGCCTACCAGGAGGTAGACCCAGCCCAAATGCCCACCACAGAGGAGTGGGCACACATAATGGTGAGGGCCAGTCAGCCAGTCACACTATGAAAATGATGCAGCCAGGACGAGGGTGAGGCCCTGGTTAGCACTGTCTTGTGAGGTGACCCTGAGGGCTTCCCGCCCAGTAATAAGACATCCCCTGTCCATCCCCGCCTAGTAGGTCCAGGGTGTAGGTTCAGGTCCCAAAGTCCGGAAACGGTATGGCGGCATGCAGGGGCTGGGGGGTTGGGGGAGCAGTTTCTGGGGGCAAAGCTCCAGGCTGAGGAAAGCTGCCTAGCCCCTGGTGGCTTTGTGCCCCCTCCCTGCCTTCTTTATTTATTTTTACTGGAAGGGCAGCTCAGATTTACAGAGAAGGAGACAAAGATCTTTCATCTGCTGGTTCACTCCGCAAGTGGACACAACGGCCAGAGCTGAGCTGATCTGAAGCCAAGAGCCAGGAGCTTCTTCTGGGTCTCCCCTGTGGGTGCAGGGTGCCAAGGCTTTGGGCCGTCCTTGACTTCTTTCCAAGGCCATAAGCAGGGAGCTGGATGGGAAATGCGGCCACCGGGATTAGAACTAGCACCCCATGTGACGCCTGCACTTGGAGGTGAAGGATTAGCCAGTTTAGCCATCCCGCTGGGCCCAAGCTCTGTGGTTCCTGCATTGGATTCTGAGGGACCCCAGAATCGGGGGACTCTGCAGTTCAACTGGACTGAATCCCCTCTCCCTGCCCCACTTTGAGAGGAAACAGTGAGACCTCCGCCAGGAAGTCGGCGCCTGAACTGGAAGGAAGCTGCCAAGAGAAGCTAAAAATAGCACAGATAGCTCAGGCGGGCAGTGGAGGGAGTGGCCTGGCCCTGACCCTGCACCCAGCCCTGCATGTGCCAGCACCCACTGCCCTCATTGTGGAGGGTGGGTGGGGAAGGAGCAAGGAGTGGGTTGAGCCAGGGTGCTCAGGTCAGTCCACATCAGGGACAGACTCTCAGGGTGCTGGACCCCACGGTCACCAGACAGCTGTCACCATGTGTCTCTAAGATACGTGAATAAGTTAGTCAACAGGTTCTAACAGACGCAGTGGGCGAGTGTGACTTTTGTCCCCGAATGATTTTGGTTCAAGTAACAATAAAATGTGTGGGTCGGGGGTCAGCTCACCACCCCGACCCTGGCCACACCACGTGACACAGAGCACGTATCGGGGGCACCCACCCAAGTCCCCCGTTGATGTGCACCCTGGCAGATGGCACCGATAGCTCAGGTCCTTGGGACCACTTCCCATCCGTGTGGGAGACCTGAGAGAAACTCCTGGCTCCTGGCTTCGGATTGGCTCAGCTCTGGCCATTGTGGCCACTTGGGGAGTGAACCTGTGGATGGAAGATCTTCCTCTCTGTGTGTCCTTCTCTCTGTAAATCTCAATTTCCATTAAAAATAAATGAAACCCTAGCCTAACAATAGTAATAAATTTAGATTTGATTGCACCTCAGTCTTTAAGTGTCACTGATGTCAGTAAAATGGTGTGTTCCATGAAGATTGCCGCTCACAGGGCCACACGGTCCTTCCGCAGGGGAAAGTGTCCACGCAGGGGCAGGCCCTGACCTACCACCACCGTCCACTCCTGCAGATTTACCTGTTACCTCCATCTGAAGACACGGAGAACCTTGTCCAGGCTGCCCTAAGCCCCACAGGTGCACCAGCCTGGGGGCAGGGTGGCTGACACGTGGCAGGGAGCTGGTGGTGGTGTGCGGGGTGAGTCAGGCGTGTGTCCCAGAGAAGGTGGTGGCCAGCAGGGTGTGGGGTAAAGAGGCCCTTAGCATGCACCAGTTGCAGCCCCTGGAACCAGTGGACAACATCCTCACTTTCTCAGGCAGGTGAGCGAAGCATCATCCCTCCCACCCACCAGCCTCCATTTCTGCCCTACCGTCCTTCCAACCCTCATTTCTGGGAAAATCCTAAGTCTGAGTGAGCCGGAAACACCTGGGGCCCTGTGGGGTCTGGTCGGCCAGACGCTGTCACAAGGAACAGCACCAGGAAGTGGCCTTGCTTCTTCCTCCTCAGCATTCCGCAGAGGCGGGCGGGCGTCTTCGCTGCAGCCTGTGTCTCCCTGGGACTCGAGAAAGAGCTCGTCCACCTGCTGGCCGATCCACAGCCAGGAGCCAGCGCCAATGCTCCAATGCTCCACTCTGATGTCCCTGGATGGGATTCGGCCATAAAGGCGGTCACCTTCGGCGCCTCCCACCCCATGCTCGTGCCTCTGTAGCACCGGAAATGCCTACAAATGGGCCATCCGCCCTCTCCAACTCAGTGTCCTCCTGCAGAGTCCGAGCGTCCCCGCCCCAGGCACCCACTGGGGTCTCGAACCCTTGGCCTTGCCTTCAGAGCCGATCACGTGAGCGTCACCACGGAGTACGGGCCAGCGCGCCTGCGCCCGCGCGGGCTTCTGGGACTTGTAGTCCCGCGCCCTATCTCCGCCTCGCGCCGGCCCCCGCCCCTGGAACTACGCTCCCGTCGTGCCCCGCGGTGCCAGGCGGAGGCGGGCGGGCTGGTTGCTAGGACTTGGCGAAGCGCAGGCTCGCACGCCCGTCTCGCCGTCAGGTAAGCGCGGTCGGCGGACGGTGGGTCCTCCGAGGAGCCGGCGGACGGGGTCGTGGCGGGCGAAGCGGGCGAAGCGCGCGAGGCGGCGGTCGGGGGTCGCCTCTCGGGGCTCGGCGAGCTGCGCGTGCGCGCCGCCTGGACCACCCACTCCCCCATTCCCGGGTCGCGGCTCCCTGTGCGCGTGCGCGCCGGCTGTTTCCGTTGCGCGTCGTCGGTGGGGGTGGTCCCCCCCGAAAAGCCATCATCCCCTGGTCCGCACCTCGGAATGCGGTGCAAGGCTCCGCTCCTAGCCCCGAGCTGGCCTGCAGCATGCCTGCAACTTTCCCCGTGGCCGAGAGCCCAGCAGTCCTCGTTGGCCTGTCCGTCCTGCACCCCGAGTTCTGAGGGGCCCCCCACGTCCCCGGGGACCCTAAGTGATTAGGGGCAGCCCAGTTCAGCCGCCGCCCGGGCTGTTTGGGGATGCCTCTCCGTGCGCAGCATTTTTGGGGGGGGGTTCCTGCGCACACCCAGCCTTCCCACGGACGGGGCCAAGTGGGGGCACGAGTGGCCATCTGACCAGGGTGCACAGCTGCCCTGAGCCCCGCCTGACCAGGGTGCACAGCTGCCCTGAGCCCCGCCTGACCAGGGTGCACAGCTGCCCTGAGCCCTGCCTGACCAGGGTGCACAGCTGCCCTGAGCCCCGCCGTGGCCCCTCACTGCTAGGGCAGGGGCTTCCCTGCGCCTATTCTGCCTGCCCCCTACACACACACACACACACACCCACACACACACAGGCTCGGTGGGCCCTGGCAGCCATGTCCCTGGGGCAGCGTCTTGACGCCTCACAGGGACAAACAGGGCTGTGTTTGTGTCTGAGACACAGAAGAGCTTTTGTGTGGCCTCGCCGGGATGTGCGGGCCTGGGGTCCCAGGCGGGAAGTCCGGCAAGTCTGTGCCCTTGGGCCCTGCCTGGCTCGTGGTGGGGCCACCAGCCACCCACTTCCCTCCGACACACACACTTTGCAAGGACCTGGCTGCTGTGTTCCGTGTGTCACGCTCGGTCATGCGATGGGGCTGGTGACCATGGACTGCCTTCCCAGGACTGACCTGTCTAAGTCCCGAGCTGGGGTTCCCTGGCCTGGGACCAGGGTTGGCACGTAGGGGCTCCCTGGCTTTGCGGTGTGTCCCCGAAGCCGTGAAGATGGAGCAATGTATTTGAAAGAATTACAGAGAGGGAGAAGATAGGGCGAAAAATAATGATCTTTAGGCTGGTTCACTTCCCGGAGGACCACAATTGTTGGGGCAGGGCTGGGCCGAAGCCAGGGGGCTGGAGCGCCATCCCGGTCTCGTGTGCAGGGAGCAGGGGCCCAGTGACTTGGTCCCTGATCCACGGCAATAGCAGGCAACTAGATCGGATGTGGGGCTCCTGTGTCCCCTACCCTTGGTGGGTGTTGTGTTGCTAATGCAGATGGCTCGCGGAGTAAGGGACCATGGAGTAGTCTCCCAGCTGTAACTGTGTGTGGTGTGTAGCTGCATAGGGCCCGGGAAGGGCGTCTCCCCGCGAGCTTGGCTGGTGGATGCCTAGAGGGCCCTTGCCCAGATGCTGTGTTGGCCGCATGCACACAGGCCAGTGTCAGACTCCCAGGTGCCAGAGCTGCTGGCATGGGAGCGGGACTGTGTGTGTCGGGGTGACTGGGCAGTGTGTGACACGGACTGTGTGTGTCGGGGTGACTGGGCAGTGTGTGACATGGGCTCTGTGTGTATGTGTGTGTGACGTGGGCAGTGTGTGTGTCAGAGTGCCTGGGCTGTGTGTGATGTGGCCTGTGTGTGACGTGGCGTGTGTGTGTGTGTGTGTGACGTGGTGTGTGTGTGTGTTGGGGTTTGCGGGCTGTTTGTGTGTTGGGGTGCTTTGGCTGATTGGCCTGCACCCTTTCCCTGGGTCTGAGAGCTCCTGGCTGTCTGTACGGTGGGGAAGGTCCCAGGCTGGGATGTGTCCCAGGGCCTCCCTCGCCTGTCGCTGCTGCCTTTTCCGTTCTCTGTAAATTGGGTCCTCTCGTAGGAGGGCTGTCAGGGCACTGCTGCCCAGTCAGCGCTGTGGCACGTGTGCCCCTGCAAGCCACCCTTTGGCCCAGGCCACGCTTGGGGCAGCCCTGGTATGATGGCCACGCCGGCCTTGGGAGCACTCACCCGGCTGTCGGCAAGCGTTGGGAGGACAAGGTCGGGTGGCTTCTCCTACAGCCAGATCCTCCCAGGAGCATGTGGCAGGCAGTGCCTCTGTCTCTGTGGTCGCTTTGCTCCTGGCCATGTGGCACCTCCGTGTAAAACCAGCCTTCGCCGTCTGCTTATGCCTCCTCTCTGCCGCCTCTTGGAGGGACCTTGTGGGCCAAGCCCACGATCCCAGGGACAGTGGCAGTCCTACCTTGAGGGTGCAGAGGCCAGCCGTGGGGACGCTGGCATGGTCCTGCCCAGTGATCTGAGAGCCACCCCATTGTGTGCACATCAGGGTGACAGGTCCATGGCCCAGGAGTTGCCTCTGGATTTTTTTTTTTTTTAAGATTTATTTTATTGCAAAGTCAGATAGACAGAAAGGAGGAGAGACAGAGAGGAAGATCTTCCGTCTAATGATTTACTCCCCAAGTGACCACAATGGCCGGAGCTGAGCTGATCTGAAGCCAGGAGCCAGGAGCTTCTTCTGGGTCTCCCACGTGGGTGCAGGGTCCCAAGGCTTTGGGCCGTCCTGGACTGCTTCCCCAGGCCACAGGAAGGGAGCTGGATGGGAAGTGGGGCCACCGGAATTAGAACCAATGCCCCTATGGGATTCCAGCGCATGCAAGGCGAGACCTTAGCCACTACGCTACCATGCTGGGCCCTCCTTTGGATTTTTTTTTTTTTTAAGCCAGCAACTGCAGTTGTTAACCTGGCCGACCAACCTGCTTCTACGGGAACAGACTGTGATTGAGGACAGGCCTCTCTGCCACATGGGGGCTGCCCCAGGAGCCCTGCCAGCTGCCGGATGACGCTGTGCCCCCATCTCTGTCTCCCACAGTCAGCCTCGCCCAGGATGGAGCCGGCCCCGTGGCAGGCCTCGCCGGTCCTGTCGGAGCAGCAGTCCCGTGACGTGGAGCTGGTGCTGGCTTATGCCGCGCCCGTCCTGGACAAGCGCCAGACCGCACGCCTCGTCAAGGAGGTGTCCGCTGCCCACCCGCTGCCCGCCCAGCCTCATCTCAAGAGGGTGCGGCCCAGCCGGGCAGCCGACAGCCCCCATGCACTGGAGATGCTGTTGTGCCTGGCGGGCCCCAGCGCAGGACCGCGCTCCCTGGCCGAGCTGCTCCCACACCCGTCCGTGGACGCCAGTGGCCTGGGGCAGCCCTTCCTGGTGGCCGTGCCCGCCCGGCCGCCTCTGACCAGGGACCAGTTCGAAGAGGCCCGCACCCACTGGCCCACCTCTTTCCACGAAGACAAGCGGGTCACCAGCGCCCTGGCAGGGCAGCTCTTCTCGGCGCAGGAATGCGCCACCATGCAGGGCCACATGGAACGGGCCGTGCGGGCAGCCCAGCGAGCGTTGGCCCAGGGCCTGCGGGCCGTGGGTGCCGTGGTGGTGGACCCGGCCTCGGGCCGCGTGCTGGCCACGGGCCATGACTGCAGCCGTCCTGGCAACCCCCTGTTGCACGCTGTCATGGTATGCATTGACCTGGTGGCGCAGGGCCAGGGCCGCGGCGCCCACGACTTCACAGCCCACCCCGCCTGCTCCTTCTCCACGGCCCCGGCCACCGCCCGCGCAGGCTCCGTGCGCAAGCTGGACGTGGCTGAGAACGACGACGAAGACGGCCTACCCTACGTGTGTACCGGCTACGACCTGTACGTGACGCGCGAGCCGTGCGTCATGTGCGCCATGGCCCTGGTGCACTCCCGTATCCAGCGAGTCTTCTACGGCGCGCCCTCGCCTGATGGCGCCCTGGGCACCCGCTTCCGTGTCCACGCCCGGCCCGACCTCAACCACCGCTTCCAGGTGTTCCGCGGGGTGCTGGAGGACCAGTGCCGCCAGCTACACCCCGACACGTAGCCGCTGTGGATGTGAGGAGCTGCTCTGTGCCCCACGCCGCGCGGGGGTGACCGGGTCGTCTTGTGTGTGTGTTGTACTGCAGGTTGCTGCGGGCACCTCCCCCGAGAGAATAAACTATCACAAACCAGGCTGGTGTCTGAGTGCTGGTGCCGGGCGGGTGGCGTGCCAAGGGCAGGGGCCGAGGGTAGCTCCCGTCCGGCAGGTTCCGTCCTCACAGGCAACAAGGGGGACCTGAATGTGTGCCTTTGTGAGAGAGGCTCGCAGCGCAGCCTGCTGGCTGCACCCTGGGAACCTGGACCCCGTGGGACGCGCCTGGCCTGGGGATCCCGTGCCGCCAGGGCACTGGGAGGGTATAGGGAGGAGTCACGGGCATGCTAGGGCCCAGAGACGGAGCGACTGGCTCGGGGCCACCCAGTAAGGAGCTTGTCCTGGTGCTTAATTACTCGCCAGGTCTCGGGGTTAAGGTGGTCTAAGGCCACTGTGGGAGGGTGCAGCCCGCCCCTCTGCCTGCTGCTGGCACCTGCTGCCCATTTGGCCTGTAACAGGGAGGGGGCATGGGGGCCACCTGGAGCTGCCTGTAGCAGCACTGAAGCTGGTGCTGGGCCGGGGAGAAGGGACCTGCAGAGCCGCCTGTGGCCCTGCTCATCTGTGAAGTGGGGGACCCCCACGGCCGCCAAGGCCCTGCTGAGATCGTGAGAGGAGAGACCCCAGAGCCGCCGGTGGCCCTCTGAGCTGGTGTCTGGGTGGGCTGCCCTTTGGGATAAAGAACCCAGGTTGCCGGGCTCTGTGACACTTGCCAGGTTGTGTGGTAGCCCCTGCCATGGCCTCGCTTCTCTCACTGTCCATTCCCTCGCAGGTGGCTGCAGGCTTGAGCTCGGGGCTGTGTCGGCTGCGGCGGCCATGTCAGGTGAGTCCCGCCCAAGAGTGCCTGGATGGGGGGCTTCTCTGTCCCCCTGGGGAGTGGGCACGGAGCACCCTGCCTCTGCTGCTTCTACGTGAGCCACACTGCTGGCTCTGGGCCTTTGCCACCTGCGGCTGTCCTCCCCACAAGGTGCCGTGGTGGAAATTATGTCCCCTCCAAGAAAACAGCATGTTGGCCTCCTGGTCCTGGAAAGGCAGGGTGGGGGCTTGGCCAAAATCTGTTAGTGGAGGTCATTATATAGCATCCTGCACCCTGGGACCACCGCCAGAGGCCTAGGGAGGGGGGAGAGGGACCCAGCGGGGTGTCCCTGCAGGCCCTCCCCCAGGCCCTCCCCCAGCTGGAGCCTCCTGCACCCTATGACGGCCTACAGCTCTGCACCCTTCTGGAACCGAACCCCAACTTTCAACAGCTCAGCCCTGAAGGACAGAATCAATCCCTCCAGGGTTGGGGAGCCTGGGTGGGTCCCCCCTTCCCCAGCCGTCTCGGGCAGGCCTGGGAAGACATGTGATCCCGATGGTCAACCCCCAGCTTGCACCCCCACTCCCCGCCCCTGTGGCTGCAGGAAAGGAGAATAACTTCCCGCCGCTGCCCCACTTCATCCCCCTGAAGCCCTGCTTCTACCAGAACTTCGCCGATGAGATCCCCATCGAGCACCAGCAGCTGGTGAAACGGATCTACCAGCTGTGGATGTGTGAGCACCGGGCCGGAGGCTCCCGGGGGGGCCATCCGGCCAGGAAGGAGCCGCCTTGTCAGGGGGTGGCACACGGGGGGTGGGCCGTGCAGGACCAGCTAGCCCCGGGGCTGCTCCTGCTGCCTGTGGGGGGGAGTGTGTGGAGGGGCTGCAGGCAGACAGGGGGGTGCTGGGCCACCTGACTGGTCTCCCTGCCACCCCCCTTCTCCCCACCTCACCCCGCCACCCCAGTTTACTGCGCCACCCTCGTGGTCAACCTGGTGGCCTGCCTGGCCTGGTGGATCGCTGGCGGCTCAGGTGCCAACTTCGGCCTGGCCCTCGTGTGGCTGCTGCTCTTCAGCCCCTGTAGCTACGTGTGCTGGTTCCGACCGGCCTACAAGGCCTTCCGGTGAGTCAGCCAGTGCCGGGATGTGGAGCAAGGTGCACCCGTTTCCTGTCAACGGCGGGTGGGAGACGGGGTGCCCCACGGCCCTCAGCCCGGTGTCCGCAACTGTCCCCAACTCATCCTTTTTTTTTTTTTTAAGATAAATTTCTTTTTTATTGGAAAGGTATATGTACAGAAAAGAGAGCCAGAGAGAAAGATCTTCCATCCGTTGGTTAACTCCCCAAGTGGCTACAATGGCCGGAGCTAAACTTATCCAAAGCCAGGAGCCTGGAGCTTCTTTCCGGGACTCCCACGCAAGTGCAGGGTCCCAAGGCTTTGGGCCGTCCTCCACTGCTTTCCTAGGCCACAAGCAGGGAGATGAGCTGGATGGGAAGTGGGCTGCCGGAACATGAACCAGCACCCCTATGGGATACCTATACTTGGAGGTGAAGGATTAGTCAGTTGAGCCATTGTGCTGGCCTCACACCATTCACCTTGGATGGTGGAATATTCTAGTAAGCAGACTGTGCCTGCTGTGATGTGGGCCTGGTCCCTTGCTGAAGTAGGCTTTCCACGTCCCGTAGTCTTTTGGCTTACAAGAAACCTTCCAGGAGTTTCAGGTCATCACAGGATTATGTGATCGCCACCTTTATTTCTGGAACGTTCCATCATTCCAGAAAGAAGCCCTGTGCCCCTGAGCAGTCACCCCCACAGCCCCTGGCAGCCGTGACTGCCCATGGAGCCCATGCGGTATGGTCCTGTGTGTGTCCCACCACCAGCCCCCCAATTGCGGCACTCTCAGTTCTTGCACACCACAGTGCATGTTCTGGTCTCCCCATCTCCCTGGCCATGTCTCTTCCTGCCTGGTTGGCCACGGGCCACAGGATTCCCACCGCTGGCCACTGTGAGCATTTGCTTGTGGCTGCCACCCTTGCTGCCACCTGGGTATGTGTGGCATTTCCCCAGTCTCTGCTCCCACTGTTGTCCCAGCAGCTGGGTCGGGAAGGGGCCCTGGGCATCTCCCTGGAGACAGGGTGCTGGCGGAGGGCGGAGTAGCTCAGACACCAGTGGCTCTCTTGCCAGGCTGGATCGGTCTACTGGCTGCCGGGCCTGGGGCATGACTTCTTGTGGTAGGGGAACTTGGGGCTGTGGCCTGGTCCATCCAAGTCAGCTCCCAGCCGGAATCCGAGGGTCGTGTTGGTGCTTGCAAACGGCAGGCGCTTCCTGGGGCTGCCAGCCACTGTGTCCCATGAAGCTCAGGCACATCACAGCTGCACTTCTTGTCCCCATAGCCACATCATGGCTGTAATTCCTGTCCCCTCAGCCACGTCATGCCCCTATTTCCCGTCCCCTCAGCCACATCACACCTCTGCTTCCTGTCTCCCTCAGCACGTCACACCCTTACTTCCCGTCCCCTCAGCCACGTCACACCTCTGCTTCCTGTCTCCTCACGGCTGTTTCCTGTCCCTCTCAGGGCCGACAGCTCTTTCAACTTCATGGCGTTTTTCTTCATCTTTGGCGCCCAGTTTGTGCTGACTGTCATCCAGGCCATTGGCTTCTCAGGATGGGGCGCGTGGTAAGCTGGTGTCTGGCACATGTCATGTGTGTGACACGCATTGACCATGGCAGTGGGCACCCATCTGCACGCAGCCTGTAGATCGGCCGCTGAATCACCCAGAGCCTGTCCCGTTGCAGTGGCCCTCACCGAGTGCCCCCTGCCCCATGAGGCGACTTCCACCCGGCCCTGTGATGAGGGTGTAGGCAGCATCAGGGAGCTGCCGGCTGGTGAGAGCCCTGTGGCCACTGTTGCCGGCACGGTGGTCTCTTTTTGATCGACTGATTGATTAATTTGGAAGGCAGAAAGACAGAGGGAGACTGGGACTTCTGCCACCGCTGGCTCACTCCCCAGGTGCCCACGGCAGCCGGGGCTGGGAGCTGGGAGCTCCACACGGGGCTCCCAGCCAGGTAGGGGCAGGGACCCACCTGCTCAGTTCATCACTCGTTCCCTCCCTCCCAGGCGCATTAACTGGGAGCTGGTTGGACTTGGCGTCATCGCGGTTCTGGCTCAGGATGTCCTTGTTCCCAGGGGTGGTTTAAATGTGCTGCACCACTGTGGGCCCCAGGGCGTGGTTTCTCACGGCATTTGCCACTCATGGCCTGAAGCTCACCCTGGGTGGCGAGGAGGCGTGGTCTGTGCCAGCCCTGGGTCTTGGAGGCTTGAGCGGAAGTGGCGTGGAGAGCAGTCACACCGCCAGTGCCCCTCGTGGGCCTCTGGAGGAGGAAGGCAGGGCCTGGGTGCATCTGTGGTCCCCCATGCCAGACGCACACAGGCTGCTCCTTGGGTGGTGCTGTGCTCCCAGAACTGCCAGGGGCATGGCCGGCTGCCCGGTCAGGGTCATCCTCTGTTCTGTTCCTTGGGGTTCTGGGCCAGGTACTGCCAGTGGGGAGCCACACTGTGTCCCCCAGCGTCCCCTGTGCCCAAGTCCCAGCCACATGCGTGCTGGGGACAGTGGCGAGACTTGCTTATTTATTTGAAAGTCAGAATTACAGAGCGTGTGGAGAGCTGTCTTGGCCAGGAGCCTCTTCCGGGTCCCCCACGCGGGTGCAGGGTCCCAAGGCTCTGGGTCGTCCTCCACTGCTTTCCCAGGCCACAGGCAGGGAGCTGGATGGGAAGTGGGGCAGCCGGGACTTGAACCTGTGGGCACTAGGGAATGGCAGCCTGACACTCCCCCAGGGACATTCAGGTTTCTGAGTTCTTGCTGGTGTCACCAGCAGCCCTGGGGCAGATGGTCCCATGTGTCAGTGCAGCCGGGAGGAGGCGTTGTTGCCCTGGGCCCTCAGGCCGGCCGGACAGCTGCCCTGCCCTGCCCGTGTTTCAGACTGGGCCCCGTCCACCCTCTTGTTGGGTCACCGGGGCTCTCCCAGGAAGGCTGGCTATGCTCTCGTCCGCAGTGGCTGGCTGGCAGCTGTGGGGTTCTTCAGCACCAGCGTGGGTGCCGCTGTGGTCATGCTGTTTCCAGCCATCCTGTTCACCCTGTCGGCTGCCGCGATGGCCATCATGATTGTGAAGGTGAGTTCTTGGCCGGGGCTGCCAGGCACAGCTTCCAGAAGCTTCTCCCAGCTTCCTGCTGTGATGGGCATCTCGCAGGGACAGCTCCCGCGGCCCCCTCCCCACCCCTCTGACCAGAGCAGCCTCCACACTCCCCCATCTTCCCCTACAGGTACACAGAATCTACCGTGGGGCCGGTGGAAGCTTCCAGAAGGCACAGACTGAGTGGAGCACGGGAGTGTGGCGGAATCCCCCAACCCGGGAGGCCCAGTACAACAACTTCTCAGGGAACAGCTTGCCTGAGTACCCCACCGTTCCCAGCTACCCAGTCAGCGGCAGCCATTGGCCCTAGTGGAGCCAGGGCCCTGCCACCTGCCGCCTCCCCTCACGGCCGCACCCCTGTCCTGGGTGGCCTGTCTGCCAGCTGGGATGGCAGGAGAGGGTGGGTGGCATCCAGAGCCCTCAGCCAGGGTCCTCGACTCCCTGTATTCATCTCATTTATGACCAGGCTTCCCTGCCAGGGGCCTCTGCCATCTGGAACGGGGCACCCTCTTGCCCCTGAAGACGTGTGGCTGCTCAGTGGGCAGTTGGCAACCTTGGGCTCTCCTCCCCACTCCTTCGGGGCCAGCAGCTGGCACAGACTGCCCTCCCAGTACTGGCCGCTGAGACAAGCCCTGCCCACTGCCTGCTCGGTCCCTGGGTAGCCATGGCCTCCTGCAGCCCAGATGCCCTGTTGCCCGGCTGGATCCACAGCCAAACTCCCGGGCTCGGTGGGCGGCACGTCCAGTGCCTCAGCCCGTGACCCGTTCTGCCTTCTCCAAGCCACCCCGTCCCTCGGGGGGGTTGGAACTGTGTGGCCAGACACTGCCCCTCCCAGGGCCTGTCGTCGACGGCAGCAGCCCTGGCACTGCCACGAGCACTCCCAAGGGGAGACGGGGCCCAGCAGGAGGCTGCCATGTGCCAGTGCGGTGGGCCGGCAGATCTGTGCCTTATGGAGAGAGCTCAAACACTGCCTTGTTGGGGTGTCCCCCCACCCCAAGCCCCGGGAACAGACAGCCAAAACTGGACATTTCCTTGGTGACACTCCCAACACCTGCCAGCCAGGTCCTGGTCGGTGGACGACAGGGCCTCCCCACGTGGCAGCCGGCCTTTGGGGATGTCCCTCTTGCCTTGGGGACCCCCACGTCCTGCGCCCCATTGAGCGCTGCTGCCGCTACTGCCAAACCTGCCCCAATTCCCTGTGATGTCGCTGTGGCTTTTGTTAGTTGAAGCTTCTAGAAATAAAAGCCTGTGTCTGCATTGGCCTGGGTGAGGCTGCAACTGTGGTTCGGGGGTGATGCCTTGCGGGGGCACCCAGTGGCACTGCACGTCACCCGCGTGCAGGACAGCTGTGGGGCTGATGGCCCAGGGAGCTTGGGGCCCATCTTACCCATCCCATGCCAGCCAGGCTGCCCCCTGACCCTGCTTGAGGGCTGAGACCTTGCACAGAGCTCCAGGTGCTGGTTTGCTGCCCCAGTACCACCAGTGGGGCCAGCCCAGGTGCATGGCAGCAGCCAAGGGGGCATGGCCCCAGTGTGAGGGTGCTCTGGGTGCCCCTGCATGCATGCGTTGGGTGGAAGGGAGTTGGAGGCCGAGACCCAGGGGACCCCGGGAAAAGCGCTCCCACCCCACACAGCAGTGAGGCGGTGGTCGCAAGAGCAGGGGCCAGCTCTGGGGCCTGGCAGGCCCATGTGTCGGCGGTGGGGTGGGGGTGCGCATCTCCTGGTTTGTTCGAGGAGAGTTACAAACCTGAGAACAAGGTTGGCCCACCCGGTGCTTGCAAAGGACACGTTTGGACACACCCTCCAGGTTAGCAGACACCAAGGCTGCTGGGAGGCGCAGCAGGGTGCTGTCCTCAGCCTCAGGGTGGCCAGGACAGGGCAGGAAACCCTGGTGTGACAGCCCCGCCCGGGCTCCTCACTGCAGCAGCAAGCTTGGTTCGTGTATGTGTAAGTGTGCAGCCCACCCCTGCATTGCCCCAGGCCCCCCCAAACCAAACTACCGCCTGCCCTTCTGTGATCCGCTGCAAGAGGGGGCGCTCAAGCTGCAGCGGCCGCACCCCATTCCCCGCGTGCTGCACCCCCATGCCCTGCGTGCTGCATCCCTGTTCACCGCATGCTGCACCCCCTTTCCCGGCGTGTTGCGCCCCCATTCCCCTTGTGCTGCACCCCCATTCCCGGCCGCTGTGGCCGCCTGGGCTGGCAGCCGCCCGAGCTTGGGGTGCTCCTGGAGGGGTGTGCGGTGCAGCGCGGTGCTGGGCCAGGCCCGAGCCGCGAGCTCCATCTGCGTCTCCCTGCTGTGCGTGCAGGGCCCTAGGCCCATTCTCCAGGGTCCCGGGAGCAGCCGGGACTCGAACCTGGGGCTCGGATAGGGGCGTAGCATCCCAGCTCCCAGGTCAGGCACCGCCCGCCCGTGACGTCGGGTGGCGAGACCGTGACGTCACCGACGAGCCGGCGGCGTCGGGGCGACCAGCCACGCGTCGTCATGGCGACCGCGCGGTGGGGGCGGGCCGGGCTGCGGCGGAAGCCCCGGCCGGCCCGGGGGCGGGGTGGGCTGCGGTGTGCGCGCCTCCCGTTCCCTTCCCGGCCCGCGTGCGCCCCGTCCGCGCGCCCCCGGGGCCCCCCGAGACCCCGCAGCGCTGCCGTCAGGCGCGCCGCCGCCGCTGTCGCAAAAATTAAAAAAAACACACAACAACGTTGCGCCCGCCGTACGGCCGGGCCGAGGCTCCGCCCCCACGTTGTGACGTATTCTGTGCGTGCCCCGCCCCCAGCCCCTCGGCGCTTGCGCAGAGGCGCACGTCCTGCCCCGTGCCTCGCTCCCCGGGCCGCGGCGCCTGCGCAGAACGCGCGCCCCGCCTACCCGGTCCGCGGCGCCTGCGCAGAGCGCGCCGCCGCCGCCGCCTCCTCCCCGCGGGGCCGACGCTGGCGGCGTGAAGGCGCGCGGGCCCGGGCGGCCGCCTCCCGCCCCGAGCATGCCGAGGCCGGCCCCGGGGGCGCGGGCGCCGCAGCCGGGCGCGCCGGAGCGGACGGCGGCGCGGAGCTGCCGCTGCTGCTGAGGCCGAGCGGCCGCCCGCAGGTAACGACCCCCGCGCCGGGCACCCCGACGCCCCCACGCCCCCGGACCTCGCCCCTTCCGCGGCTGAGGGACCCCGCACTCCAGGCCTGCCCCTGGGGCTCCCCCACACCCCGCAGACCCCAGACCCCGACACTCCAGGCCTGTCCGCCACACACTGCAGACCCCGCACCCTGCACCCCGGACCCCCACACACCCTGCAGACTCCGGACCCCACACCCTGCACCCCAGACACACCCCGGACCCCCACACCCCCTGCAGACCCCGGACCCTACACTCTGCAGACTCTGGACCCCACACCCTGCACCCCAGACACACCCTGCACCCCCACACCCCCTGCAGACCCCGGACCCCACACCCTGCACCCCAGACACACCCTGGACCCTCACACCCTCTGCAGACTCCGGACCCCACACTCTGCACCCCAAACACCCTGCAGACTCCGGACCCCACATCCTGCACCCCGAACACACCCTAGACCTCCACACACCCGGCAGACCCCGGACCCCACACCCTGCACCCTAAACACACCCTGGACCCCCACACACCCTGCAGACTCCAGACCCCACACCCTGCACCCCAAGCACACCCTGCAGACCCCAGACCCCACACCCTGCACCCTAAACACACCCTGGACCCCCACACACCCTGCAGACCCCAGACCCCACACCCTGCACCCCAAACACACCCTGCAGATCCCCACACACCCTGCAGACTCTGGACCCCACACCCTGCACCCTGGAACCCCACACACCTTGCACCCTGGACCCCCACACACCCTGGAACCCCACACACCTTGTACCCTGGACCCCCACACACTCTGCATCTGGACCCCCACACACCCTGCAGACTCCGGACCCCACACCCTGCACCCTGGACCCCCAAACACACCCTGCAGATGCAGACTCCCACACCCTGCAGACAACGGACCCACACACTCCAGGCCCTGCCCCCTCGGACCCCCACACGCTCTGCTGTGCAGACCCTCGGGAGAAGAGATAGGGACCCCCCATACAACTTGAGATGCCAGTCTCCTGTCCTGCCCACTCCCCTGCCCGCTCAGCCCTAGCCTGCCACAACCCCTGGCTGGACCGTAGTCCAGCTCCACCTGTGCACCCTGCCTTCCCCTGGGGGTTCCCACTGTACCCCTGCTTCCCGCTTTGGGGTCCTGGGGCTCGGGGGTCTGCAGGGGAGGGGACCTGTTGCGGTGCTCCCTGGGAACTCCCCAGCCTGCTGGCCGCACCTTCCCCTTCCTCCCTGGCCACCAGTAGCTTTGTTTTCCGGAAACACGGATGGGGTGGGAGGGGAGGATGTGTGAGCCAGTTGTGGATCCCGGCCCTGCTGCTGTGGGCCTTTGGAGGGGGCCAGGTGGGCCTGGGACAGCCCTGGGCGCGTGTGGAGGTGGACGCGGCCTCCTCCCCTGCTGTGGGTGGGGAGACGAAGGGAGGAGAGCACACCAGGGGGCCCCCAAGCAGCTCCGCCAGTGGGGTAGCACCCAGCAAGGCGGCCTCTGTCCTCCACCCCAGCTGCACTGCAGCCTTGCAGGCCACCCCAGGGTGTTGTTCCGCCTCTTGCTCCCCTGTGAGCCATGCTGAAGGCTGGGGTCCCCTGGAGCCCTGGGGAGGTGGGAGGAGCTGGCCCCTGGCACTATGAGGTCCCATGCAGCGTGTCTCACCCTCCTTGGTTACTGGGTTGTGGGAGGAAGTAGGTGGGCGTTCCTGCCGGCTGTGTGGTCTGAGTGTGCGTGTGTGTGTGCGTGCAAGCACACTTGCGGGGGGGGGGGTGTGGGCATCCGGCTTGGGGACAACGGTCCAGGTCTCCACCCCAGGCGGCTTCCTCCTGCCTCAGGTAAGGAAGTCAGGGAGGCCCCATCCTGGACCCCACCGTCCTCTGCTCCACTCCTGGCCCAGCTGTGTGCAGTGCAGCAGGACGCACACAGTCCACACACTGCATGCCCCCCCACCAGACCGCCTTTCTGAGCAGGGGCCTGTCTCACCCCTACCTGCGTGTGTCCCAGGGCCTGGAGCCCAGCCTCGTTCTGCTGTCGAGGCGCCAGCCCTCCCCGAAAGGGGCAGGTGCCTGGCCCTTGGTGGACCCACCCTGGGGCCAAGGCAGGTGGTCCCATGCGGGTGGGATGGCCTGGCTATGTCTACCCGGCCCTCCCACCCTGCAGCCTGGTGCTGGCCGCCCCGGGCCGTCCCATGGAGATAACCTTTTTCCCAGGAGGCCTAGAGGAAGCTCATAGGAACCAGAGCCCGCTCAGGGGCGACCTCAACCCACAGTCAGGCACTTTGGGCCTTGGAAGTCGGGGTGATGGCAGCTCCCTGGTCATTCAAAAGTTTCTTGCCTCCCCGAGGGGTAACTCCCACTGTCCTGGGGCAGGAGCCCAGGGTGCCCCAGGGAGATCCCCCTGCCTGTCGGTGAGTGTCTCCCCATGGGGTCTGGACACAGGACTGGGATGTGAGCCTGTGGATGAACAGTAGGTCCTGCTGCCCACGGCTGTGCTGGCTCTGTGTGTGTGCTGATGGGGGTATGCTGGCTGCGGGAGGCTGGATGTGGGGGCCCTGACTGTGGGGGACTGACCATAGTAGACTGGCCGTGGTGGGATGACTGTGTGGGCGCTGACGGGATGTGCTGGCCGTGGAAGCTGACCATGATGGGCTGGCTGTAGTGGGCTGACCATGCATGGGAGCTGGCCATGAGGTGCTGGCCGTGGGGACCCTGAATCTGGGGAACTAACCATAGGGTATGTGGCGGTCCTGCAGCCAGAGGCAGGGCCTTTCTGGAAAGAGGCCCCTCCAAGATTAATTAAGGTCCCGAAGCCCCTGGCATTATCCACGGCAGCAGAGCCAGGGCCTCCTGGAGGCACCAGAGCAGACGGTCCATTCTCTCTGCTTCTGCAACCACCTGGGTGGCCTGTGTGGGGTGGATGTGTGGGCAGGTGTGTGCTGTGCCGCCCACGGGTGGATTCTGGGTGACTCGGCCCACTGGCTCCCCACCTCCGCACATGAGAGCCAAGTGGACGGCCCTGCTGATGACGTGTGGCTTTTCGGGCTGCACCTTGCACGTGTGCTGTGCTCCACGTGTGAGCAGCCGTGTGTTAAAGGGGCATGACCCTGGCCCTGCGGTGGCAGCCTTGGTGCCCAGTGGACTTTGTCCTGCTTTTGTAAGACAACCCATCCTTCCTGCAGACCAGGGCCAGGCACCTGGACCCGGCCTGACCCCACTGCTGCACCAAAGGCCTCGGGGAGCCCCAGGGAAGGCGTGCCGTCATCCTGGTGTTTCCTGCTTTTATTTGTTTGAAAATTGCAAAGTCGCTGAGGGGTCACTCCCTGGATGGCCACAGTGGCTGGGCTAGGGCGCAAGTTGGGAGCTCCACCCGGGTCCCCCCGGGAGGCAGTCACTGCTCTCAGGTCATCCACAGGGAGCTGCTCAGACTAGCCTCTGTCCCAGAGAGAGTGGCCCTCCGGGGGTGGCCGAGCCCCCACATCAGCGTGCTGACCCCTGAAGCTGCTTGTAACCAGGGCTGGGCGCAGTGGGCCAGGGAGGGGGCGGCGTGGGTGCAGGCCAGGGCAGGCATAGTAGGCGGGCTTCAGGCTCGGGTGGCAGCAGCGCCGTGTCCTCCTGCCTGGTTTGCTCCGTGTTCCTGGAGCCGCAGCTGTCCCTCCATGGTGGCTTCTTTGTCAGAAAGGCGGACAGAGTGGGATGGAGAGCTTTCTCCTGGCCAGTGACCCCCACGTGGTTGGAAGCAGAAGCAGGACTCAAACATGCCGGCAGCTTTGCCGGACCCCAGGGTGTGTCTGGCACCTGGTGGCCGTGGGGTGAAGCTGCACCCATCAGACACCAGGGTGCATCTGGCATCTGGTGGCTGTGGGGTGAGGCTGCAACCACCGGGCCTCTCTCCTGTGGCTTTCCTGCCTGTGAGGGTGGCAGGCGACGGAGGCTGGGGAGCACTCCTCCAGCCCTGGCCCTCGCCCAGCCTTGCCTGTTACCATCGCCAACCACATGACTCTGCCCGTGTCACCCGTTACTGCCACCAGGCCACACTGCCCCGCCCGTGTTGCCAACTAGCCTTGCCATGGCCCTGCCTCCGCTTGCCCACTGAGCCCTCTGCTTCTGGGGCAAGGTCTCCTGGTACCCTCTGACCCGGGACAGCCTCAGGTCTGCCTTGCATTCATCACACGTGGATGGGTCGCATCCCCCCCGCCAGCAACGGCAGGCCAGCACCTCCCTGGGCGGCAGTGGGGGCTCTCAGGGGCCGTCTGGGGGGGCCTGCCTTCCTGAATTCCTGTTCCTCATCAAGGCCCTGCTTGAAACGCACTCACAGTGAGCGGGCTGATGTCCCATCGCTGGCTCACTCCCCGGACGGCCAGGCCCGGGCCAGGCCCCCCGCCCGGGCCCACGCACTGAAGCTGTCCTCCAACTGCTTTCCCAGGCCCACACAGGGAACTGGCTGGGTAGGGGAGCTGCTGGGTCTTGAACCTGTGTCCCTGTGGGATGCTGGCGCTGCAGGCAGTAATGAATTACACCACAGTGCCGGCCCAGGCTTCTCTGCCTCTGATGAGCTCCTGCTGGCCGCCTGGGGAAGGCAGTAACCCGGGCCGCCCCATCAGCCCAAGGCTCACCTGGATGGAGCTCCTGGCTTTGGCCTGGCCTGGCACCCAGTGGTTGAGGGCATTTGCAGGGCAGTGAACCCGCAGTGGGAGAGCTTTGTCTGCACTTCTCCCTCCATCACTTTCCTAAATATGTTTTTTAAAGAGGAGGTGAGAGAGAGAGGCAGATCTTCTGTCTGCTGGTTCACTCCCAAGTGCCCACAACAGCCAGAGCTGAGCTGATCCAAAGCCAGGAGCGTCTTCCGGGTCTCCCACGCGGGTGCAGGGTCCCAAGGCTTTGGGCCGTCCTCCACTGCTCTCCCAGGCCACAGGCAGGGAGCTGCATGGGGAGCAGGGGTGCTGGGATTAGAACCGGCGACCATATGGGATTCCTGGCATATTCAAGGTGAGAACTTTAGCAGCTACACTATCATACCGGGCCCCAAAATAAATATTTTTGAAAGAGGAAGCTGCAGGGCTGGCACCGTGGCTCGCTTGGCTGACCCACTACCCAGTGTTGCTGGTTTCCCACATGGCTCCACACATGTCCTGGCTGCTCTGCCGTGGTTCAGCTCCCTGCTCTCGCACCTGGTCCTCGGGCCTCGACACCTGCGTGGGAGACCCGCGTGGATCTCCTGGCTCCTGGATTCAGATCTTCTCAGCTCTGCTATTGTGGCCATCTGGGGAGTGAACCGGTGGATGAGAGATTTTTCTGTCTTCTTTTTGTGTGTAAATCTGTCTTTCAGATTAAAAAAAAGAAAAAAATTAAAAACAAAGAGAAGGGCCCAGCGGTGTGGCCTGGTGGCTAAGGTCCTCGCCTTGAATGCGCCGGGATCCCATATGGTCGCCGGTTCTAATCCCGGCAGCTCCACTTCCTCTCTCCTCTCTGTATCCGACTTTGTAATAAAAATAAAATAAATCTTTAAAAAAAAAAAAGAAGAAGAAAAGGAGGAACTGCAGGCCTGGCTGGCCTTGTCCTGCTGCTGCCCGTGCGCAGTCCTGGCCCTGCCAGTGGGGCTGGAGCCCGAGCACATGGTCCTGGGGTGCTCTGGGCAGGATGAGTGTGGTGGGCTACTGCCCCCCTCCCAGGAGGGTGCAGGGTGGCCTGCAGGCCGGGACCACTGTGCGCAGAGCTGCTGGGAAGGGGTCGGCCTCCTGCTCCCGAGGCCGGGGTGGCCAGGTGATGTCAGCCTAGGGTCTGTGACATCACTGATGGCAGGCTGCAGGAAGGGGTTCTCGGGGCCCTCCAGGCGGGGAGCCGGCCGGGCCCTGAGAAAGATGGGGGCCCGCGGCAGGAATAAGGCAGGTAACTGCCTGAGGTGGGCACCCCGAGGTGGGGCCGCGCGTGTGAGCGTGGCTCGGCTCTGGGCCGGGTAGGACTTGGCAGCCCTCCTCTGGGGTGATTATTTTTAGGTTTGGCATCCCAGGCCTAGGCGGTCCTGACGGCAGCATTTCTGTTCCCCCCACCTCACCGGTCCCTGCCTCAGTCAGCGGGGACCAGGGCCTGGTGCATGGGCCCTGTGTGTGTCCTCACGGTCACCAGGGCCAGCTGTGGGCTCTGCAGTGTGACCCCTCACGGCCTGTTACGTCTGGGGTCTGGGGGGGTCAGTGCTGCCCGTGTTCGTCTATGCTGCGAGGTGGGGCCAGGAGGCATGCACCAGGTGGTGCGGGTCACTGGCACCCTGTGCCTGCCTATGCACTGGCAGGAGGGGCCTTAGCACACAGAGACACCCCCCCCCCCCAGCGCCCTCCGGCTGCCCTTCTGGAATGCCTGACGCCGTGTTCCTGACCCAGGGGCTCATATGGTGGCAGGACAGTGAGCTCTGGCCCATCTGGGCCACTGTGGCGTTGGGGTGTAGGATTCTTAGGAGGCCGGAGGGAGAATGACCCTACACGGAGACGGAGCTGGCTGCGGCCTGACCGGGCCTTTAAGCTGCATAGTGAGGCCTTCCCTGTTAGCAGGGCCCAGACCTGGGGGCCAGAGCAGCCTGAGAGAACCAGTAGGCGGGGGGGACAGACCCCCCTGTGTGTCTTGGGGAGCAGGCCTGAGGCCCCTGTGCCTCATGGTATCCCCACCCCCCTTCATGACAGTACTGCGCCTCAGATCGCTTTCCTCTGATGGTGAGACAAATGTGCTGTGGCGCTGCCGTGGACCCTGCTCAGGCCAGTCGGAGGGGACTGGGCCGTGGTGGACGGGGCCCAGGTGGGTGGACAGCTGGGCCAGACCACTGGGTCACATTCACAGTGGGTTGTGGAGACGTCGGTTGGCACGTCCAATGTGTCTCCTGCTGAATGCGACTGCCTGGGCTACGCAGGGCTGTCCCCGTGGTGTGTGTGCCTGCTGTGGGCGGCAGGCCATGAGCAGGGCAGTCAGGGAACCCTTTGGGTGGTCAGTGCTGGGTCCCTGCCCTGCACGTGGGGCCTCGGCGTGTTTGTCCCTCATTGAGGAGCCAGGAGGCCTGTGGGTTCAGGCCCTGAGTGTGGGTGTCCAGGGCGCCCCACAGTGCCTGTGTTGCGGCATCGCACAGGCCTGCTGCCGTGTGTGCCAGGGCAGGGAGCCGTTGCCCCACCGCCTGTGAGGAAGCTCGCGGTGGGCAAGCATGTTAGAGTGAAAGCCACTGCGAGATGTGGCGGGGACCAGGGGGACGGGTGACAAGGAGTGCTGGCAGAGACAGCACAGCTGCCCCGGGACCCATGCTGGCTCCCTCACCTCCTGCACAGCCAGAGGCTGTGGAACACGCCCGTGGGAGCGGTTGGTACAGGGGCGTGGAGTGGGGGCCAGGACACAGGCCCCCCCCCAGCGTGGGCTCCCCTGACAGGAAAGTGCAGACCCGGGGAGTGGGGCTCTGTCAGGCTTGGTCACTCATACTTGAAAAGCAGAGGACAGTTGGGTCTTCTTTGCCCAGTTCACTCCCCAAGTGCCTGTGTCAGCCAGGGCTGGGCCAGGCTAAAGCTGGGAGGGCAGGACCTGAGTGCGTGAGCCGTCCCCGCTGCTTAGCAGGGAGCGGGACGGCTGGTAGAGCGATGGGCCGCACCCCGGACCTGGGATGCAGGTCCCAGCCAGCGGAATGCCTGCTGCGCCACAGCCCTAGCCGTCTGGTTGGTGTGCCAGCGTGCCATGGCAGGTGAGGCTGCGGGTCGTCTCGGGGTCCGGCCCCAGTGCTCACAGAGCCTGCACTGCTCCAGCCATGGGCTGTCTTGGGGTCCGGCCCCGGGCTCTGGCAAGGGCCATAGCCTTATCCGTCTCCTTCGTAGAGTAAGTCAAAGCCTGGGGGAAGCTTCCAGATGTCTGGATGTTTCTGTGATGTCACAACGTAACTGGCACCACTGGATTGCTTGCATGGAAAGAGATTCTTGCTCTTGGTTTTGGGGCTCCACCAGGCCACAGCCAGGAGCCTGGAGCTCCAGCTGGGTCTCCCCCGTGGGTGCAGGGGCCCCAGCATTTGGGCCGTGTGCTGCTGCTTTTCCAGGTGTGCAAGCAGGGAGCTGGATGGGAAGAGGAGCAGAGACTGGCGCCTGTGTGGGGTGCTGTGCAGACAGCAGGCCCTCCCGTGGCCGCCAGGAGTGCTGTCTGCAGCCTGTATTTGGTTCTCCCACGGTCTCGTATGGACTGGGAATGGGCCAGGCTGATGAAGTCAACCCCACCCCATCCCCCACCGTGGAGTCAGGCCAGACACTGCGGGTGGTGTGAGTGTGTGTCCCTGCTTGTCTGTGGGGCTCCCTTTCCAGCCAGGGCTGGGCAGCTTCTGGGGAGCCCGATCCTGTCCTGCTGTCTCCGCGTGGGGAGAGGTGCCGTCTGCCTCGGTACAGGCTGGGCTGGGATGGGACTGCCCTGGCTGGGGCACAGGAGCTGGAGAGGTTGCTGCTGGATGGTGGCGGTCAGCATGATTGAGGCCTGGGCACAGGCCTCCACGGTGTGGGCAGCCTGGACCCCAGCCTCCCGTGGCCTCTGCAGAGTGGGGGTGTCAGCCTCCCTGCCCCCTTGCTGGCTGTGGTCATCCGCAGTCTGTTTAGCTCCCATGTGCTGTGGTGAGTGGCATTCGTGGGCCGTGAGTGGATGGTGCTCTGTGGCCAGGAGGTGCTGGCAGTAGGGGGCACCATCAGCTGCCCAGAGAGCCACATCCACCCACCGCAGTGTGGGGCTGGCCAAGGTCCCGGTGCCGCTTGTAGTTGTGGGTGTGTTGTCCTGCTGTGGCCCAGGGTATCATGGGCCTTCCCCACTCCCCACGCTAGTGCTGAGTTCTGGGGTGAATGTCGGAGTCAGCCCAGGCACCCCTCCCCCCCGGTTTTCCCTGAGTGTGGGTGCCCGAGGCAAAGCATGGGGCCCTGCAAACACTTGCTGACTGTGGATGGTCCTGGAGCCCCAGGAACCCCAGCTTGCAGGAGGTGCTGTGCTGTGTGGCTGGGCACCCTGGCACCTTGGCACCGTCAGGGTCCCACGCCCTGGCCCAGGCATCCCTGCAGCTCCAGGTCCCCTTCACTCTCTCCTGAGGGACCCCTTGGCTGCCAGGGATGGGAGGGGGTGCCCGTGTGCCCAGGCAGGACTTGCTGCCCTGAACCACCCTCCCCCACCTTGCCCCTGCCAGCTCCCAGCCAGGCCTCCAACAGTGACCCTGTCTCTCTCCACAGCTGGTGGCCACGAGATCTGAGGTGCCAGGACCCGTCAGCGGCATGCCTGCTGAGCCCAGGAGCCCACCCCAGGCCACGAATATGAGCGGCCCGGCCTGGCCCGCCAGGACGCCGGCGCCTCAGTAGCAGAGCCGCCAGCCGGCCGGCGCGCACCTGTGACCTTGGCCTTGCAGCCTCGGCGTCCGCGTGGCAGGCGGTCACCGTGGAGAAGGCAGGCTATCACAAACTGATGGATTTTGACAAGAAAGGAGGGAGAGCAGAGTTGGAGGAAGGCCGCAGGGTGTCCAAAGCTGGCGGGGGCCGCGGCAGCCACGGCCCGCGCGGCTCAGGCACCAGCTCGGGGGTCCTCATGGTGGGCCCCAACTTCCGTGTCGGGAAGAAGATCGGCTGCGGCAACTTCGGGGAGCTTCGCCTAGGTGAGGCCCCGCTCTGGGGCAGGTGGGAGAGCGGCTACAGGGCCCTCGGGCAGCCCCGATTGGCATGGGTGTCCGCACCTGGGCCGCGGGGCTCCCCTGCAGTTCAGGGGGCCGGGTACTTACAGGGGTCCCCAAGGCAGGGCCCGCCACACGGCCGGGTCCCCACCAGTCGGCGCCCAAGCCTTGCCTCCCCTGAGCTCTCTGCTTGTTCCTGTTACCCAGCTTGTCTCTGGGTCCCTGAACCCCCACAGGGGGTTCAGGGGCCCAGACATGACACCCTGAACCTGCCACGTTGCTCTCCAAGTTTGGGCTGTATTGAGGCCATTTATTTTAATTAAAATTTTTTAAGAAGCATGTTTATTGGAAAGGAAGTGTAAGAAAGAGCAAAAAGTCTCCCATTGTTGGTTCCCTGCTGAAATGGATGCAGAGCTGCCGGTGCTGGGCCAGTTCAGAGTCGGGCGACCCCGGCCAGGTCTGTGGCCATGGCTGGTGCGAGAACCCCCTGAGCTGGAATGCCCAGAATTTAAAAGGACCTTTTTTTGTTTGTACGTTTAAGATTTTGAAGACTGTGAATTTGAAAGGAGGTGTTGACACGGGGGAAGGAAGGGGGAGAAAGATCTTCTATTTGCTCCTTTGCTCCCCAAATGACTGATGACTGGCAAAGGCGGGAGCCAAAAGCTCTGGCTGGGCCCCCAGTGGGTGCAGGGCATCACAGCCTCTCTCGGGGCATCAGCGGGAGCTCCAGGGGCCGTGGCATTGCTTCCCCCTCCACGCCGGTATGCCTTTGGGGGTGAGGCTGCCCCTGGGCCCCGTCCCAGCCCAGCCCCATCTTCCTGCCTGCCGTGGTGCTGCAGGGAGCCCCTGGCACGGGCGTTCTGCCCGTCTTCCCCTTTAGAGTGTGTGTGTGCTTGTGGTCGGCACACTTCCTCGACCGCACTCCTGGGCACCTCTCAGGAGGTGAGGCAGGAGCACCAAGCCTACCAGGGTCTAGGGCTGTGTCAGGGAAAGGACAGGGAGGAGGGGGCGCTGGGGGCCCCTTTACGAAGCCTTCCAGGCCCCCTGCCCAGGGCTCTGCCTCAGTGGGCATCTGCAGGCACATGCGAACCTGGAAGGGCTTGGGGCATGGCCCTGGAGACGTGGGTGGTGGGTGCTGAGGCACAGGCTGGCATCCTCGGCATCCTCAGCATCCTGGCATGTGGAGAAGTGTAGATTCTGAAACAAAGTTGACACACAAGTTGTACATTTTCCCATCAAGCTGAGCTCGCTCACCTTAGGCCATTGTCCCTGTGGCTTGTGGCTTCCGGTGCCCTCCATGCCCCTCCTGGCATGTGATGGCTCAGGCTGTGTGTGACACTGTCTTATGCCCATGTCTGACCCAGAGGGGCCCAGCGCCATGAGCGCACGGCCTGGGGGTCGCTGGGCTAGAGCATGGGACCAGGTTGTGTGAGCCTTTGCCATCCATGCCGTCCAGGGGACGGGAGGGCCACACTGTGCCAGCCGTCCATCTGTGATCTGCAGTGGCAAGTGGCTAGGCTGGCCGTTACAGACAGCCTATGTGAGCAGCTGCAGGCGGCAGCTCGGAGAGGTGGCCTCTGCCTTGGGCACCCATTGGATTCAAGTCCTGGCTGTGCCCCATCCGGCTCCCTGCTGCCACACACCCAAGGGGGCATCGTGACGGCCCCAGTGGGGGACCCATGCACCATAGGGGAGAACCACGAGGAGCTCCTGGCTCCTGCCTGGCCCAGTCAGGAGGCACTTGAGGAGGGAACCAGCGAGGGCAGACATCCATATCTCAGAACTGACCACAGAATCAGGCACAACCTTGCGTGGCCCAGTTGTGGCGAGGTGGACAGCCTCAGGTCCTGTGGGGGATCTGACACAGGCCCTCCCTGGGAGCAGGTGTGAGCGTACAGGGCCGCATGCCCAGCGCCTGCCCGACATGTCGCACTGTATGCCCATCGAACACTCAGCCAGTGGCTGACGGGGTGCAGTGAGCACCCTCCGAGGTGAAGCAACTCCAGAAGTGCCGGAAGCAGAGCTGGGGATGCGGGGAGGGGGCACCCCACACTCCCAGAACAAAGGAGGAGGCTCTGTGAGCCACACAGCAGGGTGCGGCCTCCTGCAAGCCCCTGAGGCCAGCTGCAGTGGACTGGCACCTGCCTGCCCCTGTCTGGGCCTCTGCCCGCCGCCCCCTGCCAGGCTGCCCAGTGGTGGGCAGGCTGGCTGGATAAGCTGGGGCTGTGCATGTGCCGGGCAGGCCTGTGCATAGGTGCCCTGTGGCCCCGAGTGAGGAGGGCTGGCTGGGAGGCAGAGGCAGGCGTGTGTGTGTGTGGTTGGGGGCCCGGCCCTCTCCTGGGGGGAGAGGGGGCTGCCGTCCTCACTCGTGTCTGTCCCCACAGGAAAGAATCTCTACACAAATGAATATGTGGCCATCAAACTGGTGAGTGTGCCCCCGCCCCCGCCCCCGGCCCCCACCCATGTGTGTGCTGGGTTCCAGTGCCCTGCGTCTGTCCCCAGGAGCCCATCAAGTCCCGGGCCCCGCAGCTGCACCTGGAGTACCGCTTCTACAAGCAGCTGAGCACGGCAGGTGGGTATGGCGGGGCTGGGCAGGGAGGGCAGGAGGGGTGAGGGTGGGCAGGAGGGGTGAGGGTGGGCAGGAGGGGTAAGGGTGGGCAGGAGGGGTGAGGGAGGGCAGGAGGGGTGAGGGAGGGCAGAGTGGAGAGGTGGGCAGGAAGGGTGAGGGAGGGCCGGCTCGCAGCCCCAGCCGCCCCAGCCGCCCCGTCCGCCCCGCCTGCAGAGGGCGTCCCTCAGGTGTACTACTTCGGGCCGTGCGGCAAGTACAACGCCATGGTGCTGGAGCTGCTGGGGCCGAGCCTGGAGGACCTGTTCGACCTGTGCGACCGCACCTTCACCCTCAAGACGGTGCTCATGATCGCCATCCAGCTGGTGCGGGGCGGGGCCTGGGCGGGGGCGGGGCTGGGGCGGGGCGGGGCTGTGTCCCTGGGTGGGGCTGGTCCCAGGGGTGGGGCTGGGGCGGGGCCGGGCCCCGGGGCTGGGCTGGGGGCGGGGCCGGGTCCCGGGGTGGGGCTGGGGGCGGGGCCTGTGTCCCTGGGCGGGGCTGGGGGCGGGGCTGGGGGCGGGGCCGGGTCCCGGGGCGGGGCTGAGCCGCCGCCGCCCGCAGATCTCGCGCATGGAGTACGTGCACACCAGGAGCCTCATCTACCGCGACGTGAAGCCCGAGAACTTCCTGGTGGGCCGGCCGGGCTCCAAGCGGCAGCACGCCATCCACATCATCGACTTCGGGCTGGCCAAGGAGTACATCGACCCCGAGACCCGGAAGCACATCCCCTACCGCGAGCACAAGAGCCTGACGGGCACGGCGCGCTACATGAGCATCAACACGCACCTGGGCAAGGGTGAGCGCCCGACCCCTGACCTCCGACCCCTGACCCCGAGCCCGGGCGCCCCTGACCCCGCCCTGCGTGTGCCCCCAGAGCAGAGCCGGCGCGACGACCTGGAGGCGCTGGGCCACATGTTCATGTACTTCCTGCGCGGGAGCCTGCCCTGGCAGGGGCTCAAGGTGCGGGGGTCCCGGGGCGGGGGTGAGGGTGCCGACCCTGCTGACCCCGCTCACCCCGTGCTGACCCTGCTGACCCCGCCGACCCCGTGCTGACCCTGCTGACCCCGCTGACCCCGTGCCGACCCCGCCGACCCTGCCTACCCCATGCTGACCCCGCTGACCCCGTGCCATTCCCCGTGCTGACCCCGTGCCATTCCCCGTGCTGACCCCGTGCCATTCCCCGTGCTGACCCTGTGCCGACCCGTGCTCACCCCGCCGACCCCGTGCTGACCCCGTGCCGACCCCGCTGACCCCGTGCTGACCCCGTGCCATTCCCTGTGCTGACCCCGTGCCATTCCCTGTGCTGACCCCGTGCCATTCCCTGTGCTGACCCCGTGCCGACCCCGCCCCAGGCCGACACCCTCAAGGAGCGCTACCAGAAGATCGGGGACACCAAGCGCGCCACGCCCATCGAGGTGCTGTGCGAGAACTTCCCAGGTGAGCCCGCCTGGCCACGCCCTCCCCGCGAGCCCCGCCCATCGCACGTGAGGCCCCGCCCACACCCCCTCACCGTGAGCCCCGCCCATTCCGTTTGAGGCCACACCCACGCCCCTCCCCGTGAGCCCCGCCCACGCCCCGTCACGCCCAATTCATGTGAGGCCCCGCCTTGAGCCTCGCCTACACCCGGGTCCGGCTCTGTGCAAGCCCCGCCCTCCCGAGGCCCCGCCCTCCCGAGCCCCGCCCACGTCCTGGTGCGGCTCTGCGCAAGCCCTTCCCCCTCCCGAGGCCCCGCCCTCCCGAGCCCCGCCCACGTCCTGGTGCGGCTCTGCGCAAGCCCTTCCCCCTCCCGAGGCCCCGCCCTCCCGAGCCCCGCCCCTCCCGAGGCCCCGCCCTCCCGAGCCCCGCCCACGTCCTGGTGCGGCTCTGCGCAAGCCCCGCCCCCTCCCGAGGCCCCGCCCTCCCGAGCCCCGCCCTCCCGAGCCCCGCCCACGAGCCCGTGTCCGCAGAGGAGATGGCCACCTACCTGCGCTACGTGCGGCGCCTGGACTTCTTCGAGAAGCCGGACTACGACTACCTGCGCAAGCTCTTCACCGACCTGTTCGACCGCAGCGGCTTCGTGTTCGACTACGAGTACGACTGGGCCGGGAAGCCGCTGGTAGGTGGGGCCGCTGCGGGCCGGGGTGCGGGTGTGCGGGGTATTCGGGGTGTGCGGGGCCGGTGTGCGGGTGTGCGGGTTCTGGGGTGCGGGGTGTGTGAGGTGTGCGGGTTCTGGGGTGCGGGGTGTGTGTGCTGTGCGGGTTCTGGGGTGCGGGGTGCGCCGCGTGCTCTGACCCCCCCGCCCGCCCAGCCCACGCCCATCGGCACCGTGCACTCGGACCTGGCCGCGCAGCCGCCGCCCCGGGACAAGGGGCAGACGCACAGCAAGAACCAGGTGCGTGGGGGCCCCGGGGGGACGGGCTGCGTGGGCGGACAGGAGGACGGGCGGACAGGAGGACGGGCGGACAGGAGGACGGGCGGACAGGAGGACGGGCGGACGGGCGGACAGGAGGACGGGCGGACAGGCGACAGGAGGACAGGAGGACAGGAGGACAGGTGGACGGGCGGACAGGAGGACAGGACGGGAGGACAGGCGGACGGGAGGACAGGAGGACGGGCGGACAGGCGGGCCTGACTGCACCAGCCGCCCCCCAGGCGCTCAACTCCACCAACGGGGAGCTGAACGCGGACGACCCCACGGCCGGACACTCCAACGCGCCCATCACGGCGCCCGCGGAGGTGGAGGCGACGGACGACACCAAGTAAGGCCGCGGCCCCGCCCCCTGCCCCGCCCACCGCGCTCACGTGGGCCCTCGCTCCACCCACTGCCCTCACCTGGCCCCGCCCACCGCCCGCTCGCCCCGCCCACTGCCACAAGCCCATTGCGCTTGCGTGGCTCCGCCCCTCGCTCCACCCACTGCGATCACGTGCCCCAACTGCGTCCACGTGGCCCCGCCCACCGCCCGCTCGCCCCGCCCCCAGGTGCTGCTGCTTCTTCAAGCGGCGGAAGCGGAAGTCCCTGCAGCGGCACAAGTGAGCGCCGCCCGCGCCGTGGCCGCCGGGGTCGGTGCGCGTCCGGGAGCCGCGGGGCCGTCGCGGACACGGGCGGACGCGGACGGACACGGGCGGACACGGACGGACGCGGACGGACACGGGCCGGGCGCGGGGGGCGCCCCAGACCAAAGGGGCCGGCGGGGCGGCCGCCCCCCGACCGAAGTGCTGCACCAAAGCTGGCCGCCCCGCGGACTCGATCGCCTTAAACCCGGCGGGCTGTGCGGCCGGGGGCAGGGACGGCGCCGCCCTCACGCTTCCTGGAAGCCATAGACTTAGGGGCTTTTGTAAAAAAATAAACGAAAACCAAACCACCCGCCCGCCTCGCAACTGCTCTGTTCCAGCTGAACGTCCCGGTGTGGCCTGCGGGGCGCCCGAGCTGGAGGTGAGTGTGGGCAGGGAGTGAGTGGGGAGTGAGTGTGGGCAGGGAGTGAGTGTGGGCAGGGAGTGAGTGGGCAGGGAGTGAGTGGGCAGGGAGTGAGTGTGGGCAGGGAGTGAGTGTGGGCAGGGAGTGAGTGTGGGCAGGGAGTGAGTGGGCAGGGAGTGAGTGGGCAGGGAGTGAGTGTGGGCAGGGAGTGAGTGTGGGCAGGGAGTGAGTGTGGGCAGGGAGTGTGGGCATGGAGTGAGTGTGGGCAGGGAGTGAGTGGGCAGGGAGTGAGTGTGGGCAGGGAGTGAGTGTGGGCAGGGAGTGAGTGGGCAGGGAGTGAGTGTGGGCAGGGAGTGAGTGTGGGCAGGGAGTGAGTGTGGGCAGGGAGTGAGTGTGGGCATGGAGTGAGTGTGGGCATGGAGTGAGTGGGCAGGGAGTGAGTGTGGGCAGGGAGTGAGTGGGCAGGGAGTGAGTGTGGGCATGGAGTGAGTGTGGACAGGGAGTGAGTGTGGGCAGGGAGTGAGTGGGCAGGGAGTGAGTGTGGGCATGGAGTGAGTGGGCAGGGAGTGAGTGTGGGCATGGAGTGAGTGGGCAGGGAGTGAGTGTGGGCAGGGAGTGAGTGGGCAGGGAGTGAGTGTGGGCATGGAGTGAGTGTGGACAGGGAGTGAGTGTGGGCAGGGAGTGAGTGGGCAGGGAGTGAGTGTGGGCATGGAGTGAGTGGGCAGGGAGTGAGTGTGGGCAGGGAGTGAGTGGGCAGGGAGTGAGTGTGGGCAGGGAGTGAGTGGGCAGGGAGTGAGTGTGGGCAGGGAGTGAGTGGGCAGGGAGTGAGTGTGGGCAGGGAGTGAGTGGGCAGGGAGTGAGTGTGGGCATGGAGTGAGTGTGGACAGGGAGTGAGTGTGGGCAGGGAGTGAGTGGGCAGGGAGTGAGTGTGGGCATGGAGTGAGTGGGCAGGGAGTGAGTGTGGGCATGGAGTGAGTGGGCAGGGAGTGAGTGTGGGCAGGGAGTGAGTGGGCAGGGAGTGAGTGTGGGCATGGAGTGAGTGTGGACAGGGAGTGAGTGTGGGCAGGGAGTGAGTGGGCAGGGAGTGAGTGTGGGCATGGAGTGAGTGTGGACAGGGAGTGAGTGTGGGCATGGAGTGAGTGTGGGCAGGGAGTGAGTGGGCAGGGAGTGAGTGTGGGCAGGGAGTGAGTGGGCAGGGAGTGAGTGTGGGCATGGAGTGAGTGTGGGCATGGAGTGAGTGTGGACATGGAGTGAGTGTGGACAGGGAGTGAGTGTGGGCAGGGAGTGAGTGTGGGCAGGGAGTGAGTGTGGGCATGGAGTGAGTGTGGACAGGGAGTGAGTGTGGGCAGGGAGTGAGTGTGGGCATCGGTGTCCTGAGCTGGAGGTGAGTGTGGGCAGTGTTGCCCTGAGCTGGAGGTGAGTGTGGGCAGGGAAGTGAGTGTAGGCATGGAGGTGAGTGTGGGCAGGGAGGTGAGTGTGGGCATGGAGTGAGTGTGGACAGGGAGTGAGTGTGGGCATGGAGTGAGTGTGGACAGGGAGTGAGTGTGGGCATGGAGTGAGTGTGGACAGGGAGTGAGTGTGGGCAGGGAGTGAGTGTGGGCAGGGAGTGAGTGTGGGCATGGAGTGAGTGTGGGCAGGGAGTGAGTGGGCAGGGAGTGAGTGTGGGCAGGGAGTGAGTGGGCAGGGAGTGAGTGTGGGCATGGAGTGAGTGTGGACAGGGAGTGAGTGTGGGCATGGAGTGAGTGTGGACAGGGAGTGAGTGTGGGCATGGAGTGAGTGTGGACAGGGAGTGAGTGTGGGCAGGGAGTGAGTGTGGGCAGGGAGTGAGTGTGGGCATGGAGTGAGTGTGGGCAGGGAGTGAGTGGGCAGGGAGTGAGTGTGGGCAGGGAGTGAGTGGGCAGGGAGTGAGTGTGGGCATGGAGTGAGTGTGGACAGGGAGTGAGTGTGGGCATGGAGTGAGTGTGGACAGGGAGTGAGTGTGGGCATGGAGTGAGTGTGGGCAGGGAGTGAGTGTGGGCAGGGAGTGAGTGTGGGCATCGGTGTCCTGAGCTGGAGGTGAGTGTGGGCAGTGTTGCCCTGAGCTGGAGGTGAGTGTGGGCAGGGAAGTGAGTGTAGGCATGGAGGTGAGTGTGGGCAGTGTTGCCCCAAGCTGGAGGTGAGTGTGGGCATGGAGTGAGCGTGGGCAGGGGTGTCCTGAGCTGGAGGTGAGTGTGGGCATGGAGGTGAGTGTGGGGAGGGAGTGAGCGTGGGCAGTGTTGCCCCGAGCTGGAGCTGAGTGTGGGCAGGGAAGTGAGTGTAGGCATGGAGGTGAGTGTGGGCAGGGAGGTGAGTGTGGGCAGGGGTGTCCCGAGCTGGAGGTGAGTGTGAGCAGTGTTGCCCCGAGCTGGAGGTGAGTGTGGGCAGGGGTCAGGCAGGCAGTTGCCCAGCAGCCGCGGAGCCACAGGACATGCTGGGTTCCCCAGCGAGAAAGACCAGTGGCCCAGGTGAGGAGCGTGCTGGCGGGGGCACAGGTGATGGGGGCGGCTGTGCCAGCCCTGGCCTGCCTGGACGGGCGGACAGGCGGACAGGTGGTGCCAGCCGGTGCCAGCCCTGGCCTGCCCCACCCGGCTGGGTGCCGGGGCCTGCCCCACCTCGGGGACCCAGGCCGGAGGTGAGCTGGGCGGGCACTTAGTGCCAGTCAGACTGAGGGGACACAGTGTCCCGCACAGGGCACTGGGGACAAGGGCAAGGACTGCAGTGGAGGCCCCGACAAGCTGCGAGTGTGCGTGCACCCTGTGGGCTGCGTGACCCCCGTGTATGCTTGTGGGGTGTCTGGGCATCTTTGTACCCACACTGGCCCACCTGAGCTTACTGCCATGTGTTAGTAGGTGGGCATGCCTGCTCCTGGGTGGGCCCGTTTGGTGGGCGAAGCTGCAGCCTGCTGTGTGTGGACTCCCAGCGTGGGTCCCCCCAGCCCCTCTGTGTGGGCGGCCATAGTCAGCAGCTGGGTATGGGGCAACCGGGGGTGATAGTGGCTGCCCAGCGCCCTCAGACCTTGCTGCCCCTTGTTCCCTGTCCCAAGCCCCTCCACGCCGTGTTCCCGCAGGTGGGCGGCAGGTGCCCAGGGCGTCTGCTGCGCTGCTTCCAGAAGAGCTCGTGTCCAGAGCACACGTGGTGAGGGCTCCCTGACGCGGTGAGGACATGTCCCCACCCCTGGAGCCTGTGTCTGCTCCCCTCTCCCCTGCTCTGCCCCGGATCCTGTGTCCACTCCACTCCCTGTACCCCAGCCTCCATCCTCCCCATATTCCCCAGGGTCATTCCACACTGTCCCCTGTGGTGGTGCAGCCTGTGGTCTTGGGGTGCTCCCCCTGCCCAGACACCTGGGTTCCAGGCAGCCCCGGGTGACCTGGCTCATGGCTGTGCACGCCCACCCACTGTGTGCAGTCTGTGGACAGAGCTAGGGTGCTTGGGGACTCCCACGGGGTGGGCATGCGGTCGGGCACAGCCAGGAGCCCTGGTGGGCAGCATCCTTGGGCCACTCCGCCCAGGCAGCAGGAGAGCCAGAGCAGCTGCAGTCGGGGCCCATGAGCGCTTGAAGCACCAGCAGTCGGGGCCCATGAGCGCCGGAAGCACCAGCAGGTGCCCCAGTGGTCCCAACATGCCCTTCTCTCGCCCAGCATGTGAGCAGAGCAGCCTCCTGCCTGGGGGGACCCTCCATCTTGGGGCCACCTCGGTGCCTCCCTTGGGCCGGTGGCTGGGGGCGTCAGCACTGTCCCAGCCGACAGACAGGGGACAGCACAAGGTCACGGGTTTCAGGGTGGGCCTGGGTGCCCAGGGGGCTGTGCTGGCCAGACCAGCCCACCATGCCCCCTCCCAGGGGTGTCCACAGGGGGCTGGGTAGGTAGTGGGGTGGCCAGGCTGCAGGCGCCCAGTGGGCACCCCAGGGACGGCTTTGCTGTCTGTAGCCCGTCCGGCCCAGCTCTGGCCATGTGCTTGTCCCAGCCCAGACATGGCCACTCGTCTTGGCCTCTCCCTGGCCGGGAAGGCAGAGAGGAACAGAGGCCGCTGTCCAGGGCCCCTGAAGCAAGGGTGCTGGCAGCATGGAAGCCTCTGCCCGGGGCTGCTCCTCCCACGGTGCCCACGTCGGCTCTCCCAGCCTCTCTGTGATGCCCCACTTCCTGCGGGCTTCCCAGCCTCCCTCCCTCGGAGGCCCAGCTCTGCCCAGGGGTCGCCTGCCCCGTCAGGGCCGCGTTGCTGTCTTCAGACCCAGGACCCTTCACCTCTGGGCCCAGGGGGCCAGGCGGGACCCAGGAGAACAGGCGAGGGTTTTTAACTTTATTTAAAAAAGTTACCGGGGCGCGCAGCCTCCCCCGTGCGGCTCTGGGCAGCCTGGCGGGCAGAGGCTGGGCCGGGGATCTGGACAGGCCCCTGCCTGCAGCCTCACCCCTGCGGGCACCGGGCCAGGGTGGCCCCCTCAGCGGGGCACTCGGGGTCCCCAGCCCCGACTGCACATCCTGGGCTGCAGCTGGCATCGGGGGCTCTGGGGTGACAAGCCCCAGGGGACCACGGCCCCCCACACAGTGCGGAGCCCTCATCCAGGGCACTGCCGGCCGCCCGGGGCCCTCTGACCTGGCAGCCAGCCCGCCGTGGCCCCGGGTGGGCAGGTGGCGTGGGCCTAGGTGTAGAAGATGACCTCGGG